TCTGATATCAACTAGTTGAGAAACGTGTAGACAAATATACAGTCTGTAAATGAGTGTGTGTACCAGCTATGTGATTGAAGGTACCTGGCAAGAAACCTCGTCTTCCACCAAGATTTCATGCAAGTCGGCCTTCATCAAAAAAGTGTACCCATGAACTTGGATTCACTAATGTCCATGTAGGATCGAAATCCCATCACCCAACTATACAGTCTGAGATGTTGTTACGTGGACAGTAACTGAACTTCTGTATGAACGAGGTAGTTATACCTTCTGACCACTGAATAGTGATCACTTTCTCGTTTCTCTACTCCTTCAATAAAGATCGCATCCTGTCAATCAGATTGCAATGGACCATCGGTTTTAATAACTTGATCTTGCATGTTCAGATAACAGATGGTTGCAAGTGTTTACCAGAATATCCTGAAATGTAACTAATCGTTGTACAACATTTTTTAATATTTTCTCTAAATTTTAAGAAACAGAAGTAATAGATTTTGAGTGTTGCTGTTTGTAGGAAATGTAATATTTATCAAATATCTATTTCTTGTCAAGTACGATGTTTCGTTCATGTCAGTTATCAATTAGAAAAGTAAATCTGTAATGTTGTCACCCGTTTTTACTGCTGAATTTGAAAAAGAACAAATAGAGAGATGGATAAACATGTTTTACAAAAGAAATCTCACTGTTGAACAATATTCGCTTCAATTAAGGAATGTGTCACAAGCAATTCATGTTACACAATATACTCATTAGTATAGTAGAACCCAGAAGATAATTACGAAGGTTATGGGTTCTATGTCGCATAAAGGAGGGTGTTATTCAACGTGCAAAATCTCTTCTGTGTTGGTACATTTATTCATTGTAACGTAATAACCATTGATGATGGTCGTTAATCTGCTTCTCAATTTGATATGGTCGTCAATTGATATGCTTGAAACTATTACGAGTTCACCTTACTCGGTAAACGAGGGCGAAGACAAATAGTCTAGTGCCACGATAGGCTATTCTGATTCTATTGTCGCCGGCCTTGCTAACTATATCAAGATGTCTTGATAAGGCGTAGAAAGTGTATTCTACAAGCACCAAGGGGATATGAGGTTCACAAGCACACAAACCGAGTTTACTTATACATCATAGAAACGTCCTTCGGAGAGCTACAAAAATAGCGTACTAAAATAATACATCAACTAATAATAGTCAACGATTTTCCGAATGGGCTTTGTAATCGCAAAGTCAACTGATCAGCTCACGCGTGAAAACACAAAATCCAAAATTAGGACCTATATCGAGTAAGTTCTGAAGATCTAAAGTCCCCAACACAAAGCGACATTTTTACTTTCCCCTCAAACAGGATGTACTTCCATAAAACGTTACATTCCACATGATTAACATTCCCATAGTCATCAAAAACTGTAACTGTTTTAGTTTACAGAACTCAAGAGATTTTCACAGCACTTATTATCCAATTACGAATGAAATGAGTCTGTAAAAACATATTTTGAATGAATTATTAAATTCAGAAGAGACTTCTTTAATTTTGATGTGTGAAATATCATTTAAGAAAACGAATTATAATTTTTTCAAATGCCCTCATGAGATTAGGTATGTATTGACAAAAAATAGATGATAACTCCATAAGAAGATTGTTCATTGTTTGTCCGTTCATTGCCTATGAACTTTGTGTTGCCAAAACCTAGAATGTATCTACAAATTTACGCCTGGTCGATATTGTTCGGTTCTGATATTTACAACGTCTGAGAGAAACTTATATTCTTGGCCTAAGACTAAGTACTTAACCAAATCGCTAATAAATCACAGCCTTTTTTCTCACGAACACACACCTGCACTTTGTTTATCTATAGTGCTGGTAATATGCACAGAGAATTCCTTGAATAATAGACTTTTTATTGGATAAGTAGTGGATAATAGTGAACTAATTCGGAAATGATCTAGAAATGTCTTTTGTGTATACTAAACAATGTGATATTCAAAGCTTGAAGCAATTAGTCTAATTAACAAAAGATGTATGCTTTGAATAACAGGGTGTGTTCTTTAATAAAAGATGGTTTATCCAAATTTATCATTTTATGCTTCAAGTAAATTTTCAATTGAATGTTGTGAAAATTTACTTATAAATGAACAATTGAACAATGAAACAAAGCATTCAGACATATTTTAATTTGAAAACAATCCACATTAGTCAAAGAATAATTTGAAGTCACAGTATTACAAACAGTTATTTTATCTTACTCCATTTGACTTCAACTCTTTTTAAATGCCCACTTCGTTTAGACTCGTAACAATATTCTAAACTGATATGAAAATGTTTAATGATTTATTTTAGAGATATTCTGGGCTGGCTGCTCACAATTCAATTCACACAAATCACTTAATTCCTTCTTCTTTAAAATATACACACATCATTTTCCTACTCATTAGATATATCAGTAGTATACACTGATTCGAACTTTCGAGAACAACATCTTTTTCTTACTTATCACACCTCAGTAGTATACACTTAACGTCTATAACTTTTAAAACAACGAAATCCTCATTTTCCACTTGACTAAAGTATAATGTCATCCATCACCAACTTTATATAACTTCAATGGCAAATAACATGTCAATACGATCACTGATAATAATCAATACACCATAACAAAAAAAATAATTTAAAAAGTGCTTTTCAATGTCAAAAACTAGATAGATGTACAAACTGTGCTTGATACAAAAAAACTTGAAAATGTCTTCAGTGATTTATCATTCATGATATTACAATAAACAATTGAAAACAACCATCTGTTCACTGAATGAGGTCATAAATTATGAATAATTAAACTGAAATTGATAATGATCGATATTGTGAACAAGAAGTTTATTGTATTCAACAAGCACATAACAATAAAAGATATTTTAAGAGTTGACATTCCATTCACTTTATATATTATCAAACTGTAAAGTATTGCTTAACTCTTAATAGGAAAACATGAAACAGTCAAGTAAGCTTTTATCTATGAGATGTACTGTGGAAACTTCAAGTTAAAGAAACGTGGTAGTGCAGTCAATTAATCAATAATTCAGAGTTCAAGTTCATGAGTATTCATGAGCAACTTTTTTCTGTAATGAATGGTTAGATCGTTTGCTATTGTAGTCAAATATTCAAGTAACGAATATATTAATCAGATTTTGATCTTTTATTTATTGACAAAGAAATTAATCAGAACATAGAATGCACAATTTATGTATTGTAAAAAATGTGAATCAAAATGCATAATATTCCGTAGAAATTATTTCAGCTTAGTTGAAATAATGCGTGAACATTGACTAATTTAAAAAGTTTCTCGTTATTAAGAAAAGTTTGACACTCTGAGTTCATCATTTGTCAAGAGAAAATGACTGTGATTGTGGTTGAGCTCATGCGTTCAAATCAGTGTTTAAAAATAATAGATCCAGACACATTTGTTATGAAGTTTTCAATGGTGTAGTTATGTCTATAAGGAAATAAAGAGATTGTTGAATCAAACTGAAAAGCGGGAATCAATAAACGGCAGTTTCATCCCAGTATAATACTCCTCAGAAGTGCGTGTCCATGAAAGCCTAAACAGGAATAGAATTCGGGCGGATAATTAACCATCAGCTTACATCAGTAAACTCTTTCGATTATATGAAACAGCTTGTTATTCATATGTTAATTTCAAAAATTATTCTAGTTATTCTGATTTATACAATGGAAATTTGTGACATTTATGTATTTGACTCATAAACATCCATAAATCTTTCCTTGTGATAAATTGCTTTTAATGGATAGTAAATTCATAACAAGCTTAATCAAATTATAATTTAAGCTACAAAATAGTCTCCACACAATCCCCAAGTTGATGAGAATGCTACGAGAAAATCTATTTTCCACTTCTGTTGATCCCGTTTTGTTGTAGTCTGTGATGCAGTTTGTGTTATTGTACTCCACAAAGCGAGATTACCCAGGATATCTTGGGATTTGAACGACTTACTAGGATCCTCCATGGAGTGATCCTCGACACGTATTTTGTTTGTTAAGACACTCAGGGAAACAATGAAGGATTTAAATAATATTTATTCTATCGTGTGTGTGTGTGAATACATTACTGAATGATTAATTTACTGATTGTGATTGATAACAGAGTGTCTAAATCATGGTAGTAAGTGATCAGTGATTGAAATAACACACATGAACTCAGCTGTAATATTACTCCCTGACTATTTGATCGCTCTTGTTTATTACTCAAAATTCATCATTATTTAACTGCAATTCATTGGTGTTATCTACTAATATCAACATTAAAAATAGAAAGAAATATTTCAGTTTCGATATTCTGAGAAACTGTTACGTTTAGAATTGGTTAGTGTCATCAGTAATTTCAAATTATATACAACTAAGATTTCTTCTAATACTAACTGAAAGCAATGTAATCTCAACAGTTCAACCAGCGACATCAACAACGTTTCAACAATTCTCCTCCATACCATGAAATCTAGCAGGATGACAGGGGTGTAAAAAAGGTTTAGTAAAATAGAATATCTTTATAACTACCGACAAGATATGACTCTCCAGAATAAAACATTAGCAAACAAATAGTTGTAGCAACCAATCAGAAAATACTGATAGTCATGCAGAAATATGAATTAGCGAAAGTTTTACTTCGGTTATCCATTCACGAAAGAACATTTGTTAGCAGAAATTCGATAACCTGTGATAATTTCACAGGATCATTTATAGATTTTGTGAATAATTTTCAATGACATCCCACATCAGCTGAACAATAACTAAACCGGAATGAAGATTAGCATCTGTTTCACTCTAGTTTGTAATTAGACATAATGAGGATTACGAAACAATTAAGCTCATGTTTCGGTGTCTAATTAAATTGAGCTTAAAATAAACGGTATCGGTGAATTACTTCTCCATTTCTGATAGTCTGATTTTTTTCATACCAACCGCCATTAGAAGACTATTAGATTACTTTTTTCTCTTCAATAATGTATTGAAAAGTAAACATTAGCTAGTAGTAATTGATGATATACAAAGTTTGATAACTACACAACACAAAATACATATTTGGTCTACCAATTAAACTAATTCTGATGAATAAAATAATATCAAGAAGACACAGAAAGAATGAAAGTCAGTGTAAGTAAGTAAGTACATACCTATTTGAAAGAATTATTCATCAGAAATGATCAAAATGAAAATCTGCCAAAAAAAATGAATCATTACATGACACTGTACAAAATCAAAATCAAAACAAAAACATTGAACTAGTGAAATATATTGAAAACATTGAACAAGAAGAACTGATTTTCAATAAACCAAATAATAATACAAATTTTGAATAAAAGCATTGAATGCATTTTTATGATTCATTTGATCTAGTTCTACATGAATTTATGAAATGAATAAAAAATAGACAGGGAGAGAGAGAGAGGCAAATTATGTATATAAAAAGGGAATAAAAATTCTCTATTTTTCATCAACCAATGATTGATTGTGAATGTTGTGAATTGTGATCAAATAAAAATAGTTGATCACTTGAACATTGAATGTAAATTTGTTGTGACAATGAATGTTGATATGCCAACTAATAATAATGATAATAATAAACTATGAAATAAGTGTAATCTAAACACACATGTATAGACAATACAAATGTGAGTAAATCCAATGATACGCGTATAAAACAACGGCTCTGTTGTATAAATATGTATAGAAGTGTGAATTAATATATCTTTCATTGTGTCTAGAGTATGATTATCTCTGTGTTTTCATCGAATACATGATTTACAAAAGTTACTTATTCTTAATGTGTCTTTTCGTTTCCTTGAATTATTATTTTCTTCATGTTGTTCTTCTTCTGTTGTACAAGAACTCACTGCATTCGGATTATTATTGAGATTATCTTCGTGAATCTCGGAATTTTCAGGATCAATTAGACCTGAATCAAATTGAAATGATGAAAATGTAAGATTGTGAAAAAAATTGAAAAGAAATTAAATCACAGAGAGCTTTTTAACAAGAAATGATCTCATCTTGAGCACTAATGAAAACCTACAAGCAATAGGCCTTCGTTCTGTTGTAGGATGAAACTCATCAGTGGCGCTGATCCACGGTCCTGAGCTGAATAACTGAACTCAGGATCAACCTAGTTCACAAGAGATCATTTTGTAAGTAGTAGCGCAGACGAATTCGCAGCCAAGGACAATATAAAAACAGAATTCGAAATTGTTTGAATAACTTTTCGGCATGAAACAATAGGTAACCACAAATTAGGTTATTATGGAATGAAATTACCGAAACGAATACACATTATTCAAAAGAATGATTGCTAACCACGACAATAAATAATGGACGATTTCAAACTTCTTCATCAATTCGATTCAGCATTTGTTTGTTAAATGTATAACAGATGTTCTTGTACGTTTACTCATGACTGGTAATTTCATTGTATTCATGAATTGTGAGATTTAAGCCAGAAAAAATTGCATGTTAATTGAAAATAACTACATTCATTTGAAATATCCTAAATGATTCGGTGCAATACATAGATTTAAACACAAGCACATTGCATTATACGGGTTGAAAAAAAGAACTAAATTCATTTTTGACCCATTGCAATCCAAATCCGCTTTTGTATTTATTTACCTGACTTATTCCAAGTTATCAACTGTGTGATGTATCGGAGACTGAGAATCCACTGAACTAGTAGCAAATTTACACAAAGAAATTTAATGAAGAAAACAATTCGTTCTAATCCGCCACTAACAACCTTAGATTGAGGATAAGCATTTTAAAGAAATCATGTTTGCCACTTATATATATATATATATATATATATATATATATATATATATATATATCGTAACTACTATTCATTGTGTATAACAGCTATGAGAAACGTCTGCCTAAAATACTAACTATCTAGGATAAGTGTTTTGGAAACACCTTCTGGAAAAGATAAATCTTTCATGTGAAGTACCTGGCAGACTATGCATATAGTTTGCTTAAAAAAACTTCCGAAGACTTTCACTTATGTCGTACATAATTTAATGCGACCGAAACCACTAAGTATTTTTAAATTTTTTCACGGAGGTGTATTTAACACACTTATTGAAAATGACATTACACTTGAATTTTCCCAGTAAGTACAACGGTCAATCAATACTTCTTAGCAGTTTGCACTGACAATTGATGGGTTTACCCATGCTTTATTATTCTGCAAAAACAGAGTAGTTTTACTTCATCATGTAACTCACTTGCACAAGTCACTGAGCAGCGATGCTGAGTAAGTCGAGGTGTACAAAGGGATTTTATTCTCTGTGAAATAGAATTAAAAATAAATATATAAACAGTAAATCATGCACAAAATAACTTCTTTTTTCAGTTTTTATATTAAGTGAGTAAATATTATCAAGTCTACTCCAAATACGGTGGGATTTGGTCGTTTCTAGTTTTAGAGAACATATAGCATGCTTAGGTGTAATGACATTCTAGAACCATGTTTTACAAATTAAATCCGAAAATAAATATTCCTGTCAGCACGAGTTAAATGTAGCCTTGGTTGCAAAACTCTAGGGCATATAAATTCAGATTTCTCAATACCACTTGTCGTTTAATTGGTTCTTATATGCTGTTCTCGGATCATGTGTAAACATGTCTCGAAACACCGCCTAATACTGACCAGCGGTATTTACCGTAAGCAGTCTCTCTACTTTAATGGTTTGTAAGTAGTCTGTATTATGAAAGGAGATTTAGAAGGAATTTTCTAGCCTCAGTCTTCATTACTTTAAGCATGAAGTTCTAAGCCTTATTCATCATTGTATGATATGATGTAAATCAGTACCTCATTTAATTGGTGACATAGTAGATCCAGGCCACATGTCTCAATCACCAGTGATATTAAGATAAACATTAAATTTTTTCTGCATCTAATAAGTGACTACACTAAGTGTAGAGTTCTTTTTATCTACCAAACAACGAATGTCGCATCCACTATTTTAGAAAACTCATTTTCTATTTAACCTCAAAATTGTAGAAAATGCAAAAAGATTTTTCTCACATCTTCACTAACTTATAACTCAGATAAATGAACGTACTTCTACAAATGTACCCGGTGTTCTGATAATCTCTGCCACCATAACAGCTGGAATAAAGAACAAACTTGAACTGGCCATCATCCAGCCCAATATTACCGACCATTTAGGAAAATGATATGGTTCAGGTCTGACAGCACGCATATATGTGAGTTCTTCATATACAATTACACTGAAGATGAATAGCACCTAAAATGTACACGGAAATTATGTACAATAACAAAAATAAATTAGAACACTCAATTTGACTGATGCATAGGATGCAACTGAAGAATTATACGAGTTTGTATAACCTATGATTATTATTATTAGCATAATTACCAGTATTATTGTTATTATGAAACATAATAAATCAGATATGCAAACTTATGCATATAAACCACAACTAAAATCAATTCTATTCTTCATGTAACAGCAGTGCGCATCCACGACTTCTGCTCCTCGCAGGATTCGAACACGGGACCTTTGGCATTGTAGGCGAACGCCTCACCATCGGATCACTGGGCCGGTATCCAACGGTGTTAATGTCTAACTCTGATTGATCTAGGGATTTTGCGCGACCTCACCCATTTGTCTTTGGTAGTTACTGCCTACACCCGACAGAGTTGAACTCCATTGGTCACGTCTTCTCAACTAGAACTCCGAGAATTTCCTCACGAAGCTAGTCACTAGTGAGCACTGTTACTATATTTTGCGGCACAGTTTTGGAGGTTTGCGTTTTTACACATTTGAAATCATCAATCGATCATTGTTAGATCACCATTAGAAACCTTCAAGCACTGGACGTCTCATACCAGGATGAAACGGCCGTCTTTCAGTGCTTCCAGGTTTCTAATGGTGGTCTAACAATGACTGATTGATGATTTCAAATGTGTGAGAACTACTCTCGTCATGTGAGCAGAATTCGTTCGTGAAAACAATTCAGAAATATGATTGATTTTCAACCACTTGTTCATGTGAAGAGACTACTTACAATGTATAGCTAGCTAACTATGTTTAGAAAATGTACTTTTTAACTGTACTGAAGTAAAACAATGACCAGTTTTCATGTCAACATTTTTATTTGTTCAGTATGTAAATGTTAGGATACTCATCAATTATCCTAAAGAAAATATTTTTTAAGTCTTATCCAACTGATCGATTCCTATTGGTCAATATCAAGTTCAACTACTTTTATATGCTATTTCCTATTGGTTAGTATTCACGGTCGACCTAACTGGATAAATATGCATTGTCTACAAAGTTATTTGCTCCTCTACTTCTTCTGTAAAAAACCGCATATTTACTTTGTGCTTGTAGAATACACTTTCTAAGTCTTGTCAAAACTTTTCCTCTGCTTATCGGAGCCTTGGGACTCTCGGATTAGAGTAGCCTGTCGAGTCACTGGATCATTTGTCTTCGTTCTCGTTTACCGACTAAGACGAACTCGTAATAGTTTAACCGTATCAATAGACGAGCATAACAGTAAAGTTATCATTTTTAACAATAATCCATAGGTTTTTGTACATATATCCGACAATTTGTGTTAAAGAAATGGCGTTCCATTTAATCAGCGATCGCCGATTACAACAAAAATTAAAATTATCTTTATATCCAAATAAGAACAGTAGGTGAAATGTAGGAGTAAAGAAATGAATACAAATGTATTTGAATTCTTGCTAGATGTGTTATATAATTCAAGTTAAAGTATATAATCATCACAGAATCAAATGTTTTCCAATGAGTATGGGAATAAATCCCTTCATGTCACTTCGTGATATAATTACTACTGGCATTTTGTATTATTACATCAAGTGGTGGGCTGAATATGCCCAGTGATATCAACCGATTCATCGAAAAATATTATGAACGAGTACTTATTCATTGTATTGAGAATTATATCTACGAGTATATTTAGAATCATAAGTAACTGTTTAACTGTTTTGATTTACGGATAAACTGCCTTTAGTTTATTTTGCTCATATGTATAGTCAGATTTATAATTATCAGAAACGATTAGGTTCCCTGTCTTTTAATTCAAAGTCAGAATAATCAATATTTCGTCACGAATTGCTAAATAACAACAGTATACAAATACACGCTAGCACACTCATGAATTCTACAGCCAATGAACTATTTGAACATTAGAGATTGTACATGAGTTAGCTACTCCGACGCTTTTATAGTGATATTTTGTTATTGAACCCTAGTCATTCTGGTAATTTTGATTTTGATGATTTCACTGAGGAAGATTCAAGTATTTTCTCGGGAGAAAAGTCGATATCATTGAAATTCGAGTCATTAAAATGAATTTAAATTAGAGCGTACAAACTAGAATATTCATTTACAAAAGACATACAAATAGATAAGGTTGAAAAACAGCTCAAAAAGTACGCTTCAAAACTTACCAAAGTAAATAGTGGAGTAATAATGCACAAGTAAAAAAAACACAACCATTTCAATGAATATCCATACATTGACTTCATATCATTGGCGAATCGTTTCCATCCTAAAAATACCAAAAACAGACAGCGAATGTTATTTATGACTGCATATAAAGTGTATTAGTGTTTCGTACTTAAAAATAGCTCAAGATTTGCTACAAGTTATTAATATTCAAGCCATAACTATAGATATAAATATATTTTAATCAATACTAAACAGAGTAACTAGTCGAAACCATATCAACTGATCAGATTACATGTATAACTGAATTCTCTAGTGTTTAGCGTATTTGCTCAATTCGTAGAGGTGAAAATCGAAAAACATTCTCATTTCATATTGATGGCACCAATATGAAATATTCACTAATAATTAAAAACAAAATCTGTAAATTATGCAGTAGTTATATGTAGTAAGTAATATGATATTTAGCGATTTAGATTTTATGAATTTGTTAGCTATGAAAATTTGTTATCGATTTCATGAGACTTTCATCAACAGCATTCAATTAAACACAGTATTCACCCTCTTGTGTCAATTCATTAATTGACTCAAATCCAAAGAATAAAGTTAGATTTAGCTCGTTGGTATATCTTTATGATGTGAATAAGTGAAATGTACCAATCGAATAACTGGCCACTATAACACACCAGCTGAAATGGTGAAATAGTCAAGTCACTGAAGAGAACATTAGATTTATGGTCTAGCACGAAATATCCACGTTTTCTACAGTGTTAAATACTAATGGTCTTATAGTAAGTAAAATCAAACTTGCTGAGTTTCACTAGTTTCAGATTTACCCTCTTAGTCATTCTGACTATTTACAAATAGCCACAAACTTACAAGGTATTTTATTTCATATGTGTCTCAATGAGCTATCCATGCTTCATACATACCTGTGTATGAAGGGATATATGTCAATCCACTTTCTATATCGCTTACACAACTTGTTAAAAACTAAAACACTTTTTACGGATTAGTCTATTTTAGATTATTTCAACTGTTGACGTGTTACTTGGCCTATACTTCTGTTTCTGACTATAGTTACAGTTATATTTAGATATAAAATAGAATAAGGCTGTTAAACATCTTGTTGTAACTTCAGCAGGATACATCTACTGCTTATACAATGGCCAAATTGAAAATGAATGCGAATAAGCTATATCAAGGTAGAAAACATGAATCAATAATGAAATTTATTAGTCGTACAAATTTGCTAGGTTTGTTCACGTCAAAATCCGATTCTCGGTAAAAATCACTGTCAGGCAGATAAACGACAAGCACATTCATTTCTCAATACCATTACATGTCAAACCCGCCCCCCAAAAACACTTCTTGCTGTTACACTTTCTTATCAGCTGCTAATACCCATTATCTGATAATCGTATTCGCAAGCATAAAACAAGTCTGAGTTGTACAAATTGTCAGATTTACATTATTGACAGCCGTTAAAACGATGCCATTGACATATAGCAGCACAATGACGAGCAGGAGGTAAACGTTTGTAGTTGATTGAGTTTGTGAGTTATTATCAAATAAGCACAGTTGATTACTTCAACATTCATAGTAACTTCAATAATGACTAGGAATTTGTTATGTTAATGATTATGCTAATATACCGACGAATAATGAACTTTGAATTATGTGTAATCTAACACACCAGCAACACAAATTAATGAATTCACGGAAACTTGTACAAAAAAACAACAGCTCTTTTTTCCTATGACATTTATCATTGAAAATTGCTTAAAAATAGATGCTACTATGAAGAGATTGTGGAGCGAACCGATTATCTACAACATGACAAATGAAATGCGATTAAAAACTACTGGCCAAATACGAACATTCATTGCACATATATATATATATATATATATATATATATATATAGAAATAAGTTTCCAATGTATAGATCATGTTAAACTTTCCACACCTAAATCTTACCATATATATAACCAATCACAAAACATTCCAAAAATGTTACACATAATATGATACGACTGCCTGAATAATAATCGAATAGTTGAAATATGTACATACCACCCTAAAAAAAAATTAATTACAAGAAATAAAAATAGAATTATCATGAATGATCATAGAAAAGATGTAATCTAGTTCTTTTATGATGCCAGAATTGTATAAAGATAGTTGTTCAATCAAGAGTACGCGTATAAACACTTGATGTAGTGAGAAAATGTGATTTTATTTTCCCTTGTGGTGTTAGCTACTTATAAGTAGTATATGACGTGAGTGTAAACGTAATGTCTGACAGCCGAAGATGGGGGGAAGATCAAGAAAGGAAGAGTTAGAACAGAATGGAATTTGTATGAAACGCATGAATAGTGACAATGGATTGATGTTTTGCAACAGGAACAGTTCAGTTCGATAGGATGGACTGTTATTTTCCAAATGAACGATTTACGATATGGTTTTCCTATTTTACTGAGTAACTCTGTAATTTTCGCAAATACAATTCGGTTGCCCCACCTGTGTTCTCGTTCACTACGCACTGTTGGTCTGTTTGCCAATTAGACGTGAATAAGAAATGATATAAGATTAAGGTAGAATAACGGTAATCTGACGACCAGAGTATCTGCTATTGCTTGAGTCGTTCAAATAAACTATATCGAACCTATCAAAGTTTATAGTTTTCTTTTATAATATTTTCATAGTTTATAGAAGCGCTTATTGATCTTTGTTAGATAATCACTAGAAATCAGAAATCAGTGAATAGCTGTTCTATGCTTGTTTGGAGATTTCTTAACAATGAGTATTCATGATCTCATTGGAAGTCAAATGCTAGATACTTTTCATCTTGCTATGACTCTCTAATCTCAGTAACGAATTCAATTAATGGCAGGACGATTTGCACTTTGATAGTACGGTGTTACTATTGGGTAGATATTAGAAATATAAAGAAATAACTTGTCTGTAAACTACACATTTGTAATTCTATTGTTTTACAGTTAACATAAATTCACGATTCACTATTATGTGCACTCACGTGCTATGAAGATATTTTTGGCAAAGTGGTACTTGTTCATATTTAAAAATCGACTATTCTTTGTTACATATTTCAGTTTTTATTTTAACAGTGTAATAGTGAAATATCTGAATGAATATCAGTTTGTCTGTAATGAAAGGTCGTTGCATTAAAGCTAACAAGCAAGCCAATAATCCTTCTTTTGATAATATGAATGATTGAGTAAGTTAGCTTGCTTCCAATGGTGTTATTGTCTAACATCAATCAATCCACAATATTGAGTGATCTAACCGATTGTCTTTAGTGGGTAACTGCCTCACACCAGACACAGTTGAACTCTATAACCCCATCATCACAATTATCCTAATCTGACAGTTAATCTAATCTCCATGAAATCATACAAAATGTGATGTATTCATAAACATTTTCGATTTATTTCAAATAAATTCTTATCATCAGTCTTTGGTTTTATATTTTACACCATTTCTTTTGTGCTCAAGTTAGTTAGGGGGTTATCAGATTCAACTAACTCCTCCTGAAACCTTAAGTGATAAGGAATTAACGCGTCTCAGCAATCGTGAAGGTTGGCTGTATTGACATGACACGGTAGTGAGTAACATTTATACACTGACTAGTCACGGAGTTACATTCTAATATCATTCTTATCCGACTGTAACAGTTAATCAAACTCTATCGGTCAGATAGCAAGAAATATAGTCTATAGTGAGGTTGAGTAGAGCCAGTATGCAATATAGTTCTATGTTAGGTTATCGGGAACAATCTACATTATATCAAGAATCAAGATTATAGACTATCTGTAGCTTGAATCCCTATTCACATGCGCTATACGTTGTGTTTACAAGCAAGCCAATATTCCATCTCAAGATAACATGAATAAATGAGTTAGTCAATTTCTCCTTCTGAATTTAAATGGATTATCTGAACAAATATTTTAAAGATGTAGGGTCAAGAATCGTTTCCGTGATCAGATTTATACTCAGTCACTTCTTGTAGCTTAGCCCAAGATGACTATTAAATGAAGAGAGATTTTCATTGAAAACTGAATAAACCCTCTTTCAAAAGTGAAGAATAATAATCAGCAAAATAATCACTGATACGTTTGCTTATCAGCACTCGGTGAATATTAACACTCCTTAAAATATTATTCATATAATTTCTGTTTCATCAAATGGATTGTATGTAAGAAACTGTGAATAAATACAAACGTGTGAAGCATCATCGATCAAATCGATAGGCGAATTTGATGGTCTAAAACTAAACATTAATGACTGACGTCAAACTCTTATGAAGGTTGTTGAAGTTTCGTAGATTCCTTCATGCATTGATGTCTACAAGTCCACATTTGAAAACTACGAAGCACCGGATGGCCGTTACATTTTAGTTTAAGATTCCTTAGCAGTAGGGATTTATGAATCTCCCGAGGATTGAACCTAGCCAATCAGTGATTCCTATTGTTCAACAGTTGACTAATTAAGATCGATTCGTGTCTTTGGGAAGTATTATATTTACGTCTCTGATTGATCACTTGTTCCATTTACTGCATAACCTCTTCGATGAGCATAACAAATATTCTAGTCAAGGGGTTGTGAAGATTGTTAAGTTACACATTTTTGGAACCATGAATCGATCAGTGTTGAAACACCATTAGAAACCTGGAAGCACTGGACGGCCGTTTCGTCCTTGTATGGTAGGACTCCTCAGCAGTGCGCACCCACGACTTTTGCACCCCGCAGGATTCGAACCCAGGACCTTCGGATTTGTAGGCGAACGCCTAACCATCGGACCACTGAGCCGGTATCTAACGGTTGTCAGAAATCTGAATTTTATGCTATGAATTTAGACTATTATAAAACACAAATGTATCAATCAGAAAGTATTAATTTAATTGGTAGATCGTCATTTTTTTTATTCACACTACACAATTCGGAGTGACAGAAAATATAAAAATCATGTGCTTAAAAACTAAAATGTACTTTTAAATGTACCGCCGGATATTTGTGTTAGCTAACAATTTGAACTTTATCCACCAGTTTGAAGGTTTATTTAAATTAAATAAACTCATTTCATTATACAGGGTTTGATAGTATAAATAAATTAATTAATCATGGACAATACCCAGGAACCTGATGAATATGTTTTGCTTACTCCATTGAACAGTTTCTATCTATTAGATTATAATAGTAACAAGCGTTATACTTTGTTACAAGTCATTATGAAGTCCATACATGAAGTATAATAGCAAATGACGTATACGTATGTGTAAACAGTCACAGTGTGGTGCGAGCTACTTATAAGTAGTATATGACCTGAGTGTCAACGTAGTGTCTGGCAGCAGAAGATGGGGGAAGATCAAGAAAGGAAGAGTTAGAAAACAATGGAATTTGTATGAAGCGCATGAATAGTGACAAGGGATTGATGTTTTGCAACAGGAATAGTCCAGTTCGATATGATGAACTGATATTTTGCAAATGAACGATTTACGATATGGTTTTCCGATTTTGCTGAGTAACTCTGTAATTTTCGTTAAACACAATCCGCTTGCCCTACCTGTGTTCTCGTTCACTACAACAGTACTGCATTATTTGATGAATGTGGAAATCATACCTGATTGATTGTGTATAATTAATCCGAGTAAAATATAAAAGTGAAGCGTTTCAGAGAATATTCCGGTTATTGATTTTCATTATCGGCTTATTTATTGTTATAAGTACAAGTTTCTTTATATTCAAGACTACTGAATAAAATTGTTTTAATTGCTGAAGTAAATACTGAAAATAACCTTGTATGATTTAGACTATCTGAATTTGATTTTAAGTAAAGTACTTATAAGTCAGTATACAAATTTTGTACGAAAATTACTTGGTCGGTTTACTCGTACATTATTATTAAAGAGATATACATAATGTGCAGATAATCTATATTCACAAGATACTGACTGTCTAAACGTCAATCATTCAAATCTATTCACATTTGATTGGTACAATTAATTTCATAACTACTACTGATATTTGGAGAGAAATGACGTTTACATTTACAGTTTTGCTTGTAGATAAATAAAAATAACCGAGACAAGTTAACACAAGTTTAAGTAGTACCAAGGAAATAAGGCTGAATATTTTCAGCGCAGTGTAAATCATGATGGATGTGAACCTGTAAATGTCATGTTATTTTCGGTCAAGGTATTTTTTACGGCAAACATTCCCAATATCAAAGTTTCTAATGTTGACCATGTGGAAATTTACACAATGGCAAAGTACCGAGATGAAACGTAATATCATTGTAATGTAGTACTGCTGGTTTCGCCCTAACTGTTTTCCTTGGGATTTATCACATATTACACATTCCTAATAGAGTTTTATCCGCTATTCAGTAAGAAACAATCAAAGTTAGATAATCATTAGACATGTGGAAACACTGGATGGCCTTTTAGATCTAGTGTGCAGCTACTAAGCTGCTTGCATCTACGACCGTACCAGTGGGGATGGAGCCCAAGACGTTCGGACTCGTGAGCGAACGCAAAACCCTTCGAGGGCTGAATGGAAACGATTTTATCCATAGATACAGTGATTTCTTAAATTGCTACTGTTTTGTGTCTGAATCTCATCACTAGCCAAATGTCCAAATTTACACTGTAAATTAAAAACGACAACATTACATTGAACACTCTATTTGCACACCATCTTTGAGTCGTGACTTCCAACGCTCCATCCTTCTTCCATTCTTGCTGTTGCTTCCTTTACTTCCTGTTGGTACTCTATTTATTTCTTGCTTTTGCTCGATTTGCTTTCCGTTTTCCTCTTCTGACCGTGAGACTTCTTCTTTCACGTCCATTCTTATACTACTTATATCGTTCGTATAAGTAGCACACACCACACTATTATATGTAATTTGATAATTAGTGTTAAATCAAGCTACATTTTCATTCGATTTCATAAATAAAAAGAGCTTCAGTCAAAATATTTTATTTCTTAGTGCATTGGTGTATTTATTATTGGTTTTTTTAATTTCAGATGTGAATTTATCGTGCAAAATCTGCCTACCTCTAGTTTATTTGTGAATATTTACAGGTAGAAAAAATTTTCATTTCAATTTCACATATGTTATAGTGCAACTGCATCCTAAAATACACATTGCATTAATTTGTGTAATTTTATTTATTTAGAGAAACAAATCTGTCAAAAGTAAATCACCAGCTTTGTATATTTTAAAATAAGCAGACTGACTTTCATGATGATTGACTAACGAACATATCCACATATATCTAATACATACATTCTTACAAAATGCCTTACACTATTCAACATGATTGAAACATGATTCTCTCAACATTTATAAAATATAACAAACAAAAGTTCACGTATACAAAATGATTAGCTGCATCATTAGATATTTGAATGATAAGCAATAATTATCATCAACAACATTGCTTACATTAGTTATCATAAATAAACCGATACCATAAGATAAGATACATGTGGCTGCAACAAAACTAACTCGATACCATGGATGTATTATCACTTGAGGTAGGTAATCTGAGATTGCCGTGACAAAACCTTCAACTCCACCAAACTAAAATGTGTTTAGTATGAAAATAGAGAAATCGGGAAAGCAGTTGATTGATTGATTTTAAAAAAGTCATGAAAAGAAAACGATTCAAAATGATCATTGGGGACTAGTCTTAAAAAAAAATTGCATGCCAAACATAATCCTGTACACATGTAAACAAGTCTGTAAAATCCACAACGTAAATATAAATCCTTGTACAAAGATTCTTCGAAATTAAAAAAATTCACTAACCAAACTATGTTAGTGTTTATACGAAGCTAATTGTACTGATGAAAGATTTTTTAACTTTATTTTTAAGCATTGAAATCTACAGTGATCAGTAGAAAAACATGCATTCATTAATATTAATATCCGGACATAATCAACACTCATCAGTGGTGCATATCAACGACCTTGAAAGCGGTAATGAAACTCAGAACCTTAGGCCTTGCTCAAGAAGGCCTTCATCCTACACCACTCAGCTGGCTTCCAATGGTGTTATTGTCTAACTTCAATCAATCTACAATATTGAATGATCTCATCCATTGTCTTCAATGGGTGACTGCCTCACATCAGATACGGTTGAACTTCATAACCCTATCATGACAGTTATACAAATCAGAGGATTAATCTAATCACGAATAAATCATTTAAAATTCATTGTATTCGTAAATATTTTTGATTTATTTACAGAGACAAATAAATTCTTATCGTCAATCTTGGTCTTTCATTTTCCGTCCATATTTTTTGTGCTCAAGATTTAGTTTAAGGTCATTATTAGATTTAACCAGAAACTCAGATGGACTATTCAGTTAAGTTTGTCACATTTTAATCGGGTTTTCTCATCACACTAGAATGATGACAATATTTTCAGACGACGTTTATGCCTGATTAGTTTCTGATCAGCTTTCTTAAGTACCCAAGTTTTGCAGCTTCATTTTATGTGTGCCGAAATAGATCTTTTATGTTATATTTCACCAGTATACTACTAATCTAGAGTATAACTAGATTTGTGGTTGACAGTGGAAGAATCCATTATGAGTAGTTCGTCCTAGCTACGGCCCATCAACTGAATGTTATCACATCCCAGTTTCCATTTTTTAATCAGGACACGAAGCTAGTACCTATCACTTTAAACATCAAACGCGCTATTCACAACCAGTTTGCATTATTGTAATACAGTGTTTCAATTATATCTTTCATTTATCAGCATAAGTGTTTTACATGCATTATTGATTAGTGCACGGTTAACAAATGTTTGATGAGATGAAGGTCACTCTGAAAAAAAACACTACATCCATTATTTACTAATCAATGATTTATGACTATCACTTCAGATTGTATTACTCATTTGTTTAAATTATAAAACGTACTGTTTACATATTTTTTTAGAAAAAAATGATAAGTAGTCCCTGTTTCGGATATAGTTTTTCCGTGTATATGCACATGGCGTCATATGATTAAAACGAAATACTCCGATCCTCCTGCAGATCGTAAATTATTTTCAACGTCGTCTATTGATCATGGAAGGCATTTGAAAAAATATAAACAGTTGTTTACTGATTAAGTGTATAACAATGTTTGGGAATTCAGTGAATGTCTAAAGCCTAATTATCCATTTCGTCAGTTTCTGTTTGCACACATTTTATTACAATACTTATGACAACTTTAATAAAAATGATGACTCATATCGAATCAATATAAATTGTGTTTCAATTCAAAACTGAATCAACTAACCATACTATCGATTCCTAGTAATATAATCATTGTAAAAAAACAAAATGACCAAATAGGACTTCCAGGCATTGTTCCTAATGCTTTTGGATAAATAATGAATGCTAAACCTGGTCCTGATTCAGCAATTAAATGTATCGGGACACCAGATACATAAGACATATTTCCAAGTGTTGCGAAGATTACAAAACCAGCCAATAGACTTGTAAATGTATTTGCACCAGCGAATAAAAGACAATCTCTATAAAATATCAAAGAAAAGTTCAACAAAGGTGTAAAGTTTTTTTACAGTGAAATGAATTTATTTATTTAAAACACGAGTATAATAATGGCAAATGGAAAATTGAGGTAATCTGAATGATAGACAAAACTTTTATCACTTGAAATGTATTCCATACACTTTTCACTTATCGTTTATGAGTGTGGAATATTTTGCGTCCATTTTAGACTGTATTATTTAAATGTTATTCTGAAGTTGTGAAATGATAATATAGTATTTTCACTTGATGTATACATGATACCTGAGAAAAATTATTTACTTGACGTATGGAACGATGAACAAGAATGTTAGGCAGAAACGTTTCACTGCATGAACCTGTTAACGGGACATAGATTGGATTGCGTTGTTGCACGCTGATTGGCTCTTTCTTATCCAATCAACGCTAATCGATACTGAGGGAACATTCTAGAATCTTCTCATATAAAGACTATAAGTATACTAATGTTTCGGACTTCTCTAACTTCCTTCTAACCTTCTCGTTGGAATATAATCACTCTACTGTTCAACCGTGTTCTGATTTGGGAGAACGTCACAAGTAAATCGGTGACCAAGAATACTAAGTATTAACAATAGCTGGGTTGTAATAAAGAGAGAATTATAGCAGAACCAAAAACAGCTATCGCTCAGTCGTCAAGTACATTTGATTATATTTTTATACGAATACTCTGCGTAAAGTCATGTTATTTTATCAAATAAGTCTAGTCATTCATCACTTCTAATTCACCTCATTTAAATAAGTTAAAAGATGAGTCTGTGAAAAAAGTATTGCATTTAACTGACTGTAGTATAATTCTATTTAGTTTAGCTACTGACTGAAACATTCATAGACAACCGGTTGCTGTCAGTCAGACATATTTTTGTAAGATGATAACTTCACATTTGGTCTATGTGTTTCAATCACTTTGGATTTACAGTGCTGTCATTATTTGTCTGAAGATTTACAGAAAATTACATTCTTTTATTTTCATCTCCAATCACCAATCATCGTCTAGTTTCCTTACTTTGTAAAAGCGAATTCGTTTTCCTTTACATACACAGTTTCGTTCGTTTTCTTGATAAGAGCATTTTAACACAGCGTGATTATAGCACACTAGTGAACAGCTAACAAATAAATGTGTTTTATGTTGTGAAATATGTTAGAAATTATGTTTCTTAATTCAAATGGTTCCAGTAAATGATACACTATCACATAACAATCCCCTTTTCCAGATGATAGTGCTAAAACATCGATAATTGAACTTAAACCTTGTGACTGACTGGTTCTAACATCCACTATCAAATTCCATCAATGTTTTGATCATCAGAAGTCTTTAATGAAAACTACTTATATACATAACATTGGCATAATAGGTTCAACCCTGTCGGGTGTAGGCAGTAATTACCAAAGATAAATGGGTGAGGTCGCGCAAAATCTCTAGATCAATCAGAGTTAGACATTATGACCGTCGGATGCCGGCCCACTGGTTTAGAGGTTAGGCGATCGCGCGCAAGGCCGAAGGGCCCGGGTTCGAATCCTGCAAGGTGCAGGAGTAGTGGATGCACACTGCTGATGAGTCCCATACCAAGATGAGACGGCTGTGCAGTAATACCACGTTTCTAACCATGGTCTAATAATAATTGATTGGTTGATGATTTAAATGTGCATTATGTGTATGATAAGAATTTTCGGAGTTGACCTCTTCGCAACAGTTTTCTCATGTAAATCGTTTTTGAAGTTAATCTCTATAATATGCAACTATTTGCTAAACAAAATACTAGTCACTTCTCAGATCAGAAAATGTCAACAAAACTAAAATGACTATCGATAATGTATGGTTATAATGATTACACTTACCTAATTGAATTATGATGGTAAGGATTGTAACTTCCTAATGCAGTCAACGCTCCTAAGCCAATAGCATAACTGAAAAAGATTTGTGTTCCAGCATCTGACCAAACCTACATTGAAAATGAAAATAGAATGATTGATCTTCAGAAAAATTGACTTAAAACACTTTCCGAAAGAAATAAACTTTTGAGGCAGTAAGCTTGAGTCGTATATCGTGCTGACAAATTACTGAGTGTTCTGATATCAACTAGTTGAGAAACGTATAGACAAATATACGGTCTGTGATTTAGTGCGCGTAACTCTTATATGATTGAGAGTATTTGGTAGGAAACCTTGTTTTCCACATACATTTCATGCAAGTTAGCCTTTATCAACAAAGTGTCCCCGTAAACTTGAGTGAACTAAAGCCTATGTGGGATTGGAATCCCATCACCCGACTATACAATCTGAGATGTTGTTACGTGACCAGTAACTGAACTTTTGTATGAACGAGGTAGTTACTCTTACTGGTCACAGAATAGTGATCGCTTTCTCGTTTCTCTAGTCTTTCAGTACTGATCGCATTCTGTCAATTAGATTGAAATGAACCATTGTTCTAGTTGCCTTGATCTTGTATGTTCAGATATCAGGTGATTGTAAGTGTTCAACAGGATATCCTGAAATGTAACTAATCGTTGAACAACGCTTTGTAATATTTTTTTCTAAATTGTAAGAAACAGAAGTAATAGATTTTGAGTGTTGCTGTTTCTAGGAAATTTTATATTTGTCAAATATCCTTAACTTTAGTTAATTACGATGTTTCGTTCATATCATTTATCAATCGGAAAAGTAAATCTGTTATGTTATCACCCTTTTTTACTGGTGAATTCGAAAAGGCACAAATTGAGAGATGGATAAACATGTTTCACAAAAGAAATCTGAATGTAGAACAATATTCGCTTCAATTAAGGAATGTGTCACAAACCATTCACGTGACATGCACAATATACTCATTAGTTTAGAACCTAGAAGATAATTCAGGTAAAAGTTCAATTCTAAAAATGTTTTTGTGAATAGTAAACAATGTGATATTCAAAATTTGAAGCAGCTAGTCTAGTTAACAAAAGATGTATGCATTGAATAACAGGGTGTGTTCTTTAATGAAAGGCGGTTTATCCACAACAGTTCCATTTTACTATCCAAGTAAATTTTCATTTGAATGTTGTTAAAATTTGCGTATAAATAAACAATTAAATAACTGAACAAAGCAGGCAAACAGTTTCATTAAAAAACATCCATATTAGTCGTAGAGTAATTTGAAATCATGGTATTGTAGAACGGTTATTTCATTTCAGTTTTATACACTTTATTAAAGTACACTCATATCGTTGAGGTAGTTCATTGAGAAGGGAACAAGTATTGCTCTCTTTGATCTCAACTTTGTTTAAACTATTAACAATAAATATCATTACGTTCAATCATTGAATAGATTGATAAATAAGGTGTATGTTGCTTTCACACAAGTCTAGTGATATGTTCATGCTAACGGAACATTGATCTATTTGAAATTTCCAAACCAAGACAGCATATCTGAGTATGTCTAAAATTTTTGTGAATATCAAATAACAGTTATCCGCTACGAAGTGTCATAATAGTCAACTCAATAAATCAGAATAAAAGGCAAGATGCACAATAAATAGCGAAAAAATAATATCATTTAATGTGGGGTTGAAAGAGTAAATCATGAATATTGAATATTGAATCGTGTCGGACAATCAAGAATAAACATTGATTAATGTGTTAAACATTATTAACAAGTCGTCATCAAGGCATCTTTTTTCTATATGAAGTCATGCATTTTAATCAGCTGATATGTAAGAATCTAACATTGCATACATGTGTTGACTAATGACACAGTTAACAACTGTGAACATTGAATGAAATCAATGGTGAGATTTAGAGGTGGACAGAAAATTTTCCGACCAATTTCGGTAATTCATTCTGTTTTAGTCCAGCTTCAGTATACTATGAAAGATTTTTTTGAATAAAAAGTATGTTATGAGACAGACAATGCCTTGTTCAACTTTCCATTGATATTCTAAAGAAGTTGCATACATTATCTGCTGATAACTTTATTATTTTTCTTAATATAGCATAGATTCACAACCAAACATGTAGCTACAATCACTGTTCTAGTTTGGTGACCGTAAATGGGGTCCTACGTAACAGTCTAGGATTGTTATACAATACACTAATGCAATGAATTTCTTTTACACAATATGAAATATATTTCAATACTAAATTTATTTTATTCTATACTCACTAACTGTGAACACTCAGGAGTGATGTATGTTCTGTAAACTAATTCATTTCAAGTTTGGTTAGATGTTGAGTTTTGTTTTGTTTATATATCTTCAACGAGTGGTGTATGATTTGACTGAGTTGAATAATCATCTGAACCTTATTGTTGCTCAGTTTTTCCTACTACATTTTTACAATATTTCAACATATTAAAACTTCAGTCTTGATATACGGCATAGTTTAACTCCATAGTTGTGGTACAAAACACCCAAACAATATTACAAAAAGATTTGACAATGTTAAACAATTTATTTCAGAGGTATTCTGTGCTGGCTGCTCACAATTCAATCACATACATCCCTTTAATTTCACACAAATCACTTAATTCCTTCTTGTTTAAAAAATACAAACATCACTTTCTTACTTATCACACATCAGTAGTATACACTTAACGTCTATAACTTTTAAAAACAACAAAATCCTCATTTTTCACTTGAATAAAGTACAATGTCATCTATCACAAACTTTGCACAACTTCACTGGCAAATAACATGTCAATATGATCACTGATACCAATCAATACTGATAATAATCAATACACAATGACAAAAAAATAATTTAAAAAGTGCTTTTCAATGTCAAAAACTAGATAGATGTACAAACTGTGCTTGTTACAAAAAAACTTGAAAATAACTCCAGTGATTTATCATTCATGATATTACAATAAACAATTGAAAACAACCATCTGTTCACTGAATGAGGTCATAAATTATGAATAATTAAACTGAGATTGATGATGATTAATTGATAGATATTGTGAACAAGAAGTTTCTTATATTCAACAACTACGTAAAAATACAAGATATTTTAAGAGTTGACATTCCATTCACTTTATATATTATCAAACTGTAATGTATTTCTTAACTCTTAATAGGAAAACATGAAACAGTCAAGTTAGCTTTTATCTATGAGATGTACTGTGAAAAATTCAAGTTAAAGAAAAGTAGTAGTGCAGTCAATTAATCAATAATTTAGAGTTCAAGTTCATGAGTGATTTTTTGTAATGAATGGTTAGATCGTTTGCTACTGTAGCCAAATATTCAAGTAACGAATACACTAACCAGATTTTGATATTTTATTCATTTACGAAGAAATTAATCAGTACATAGAATGCACAATTTAAGTATTTTGAATGAAAGTGAATCAAAACGCATAATTGATATGCTTGTCAATTGTTACTCTTGAAACTATTACGAGTTTACCTTGCTCGGTAAACGAGAGCGAAGTTAGATGATGTAATGACACGATAAGTCATTCTATTCCGTTGTTTCAGGCATATTGGGTGTATTCTACAAGTACCCAGAAAATGTCAGGTTGACAAGCATACAAATCGAGTTTATTTATACATGATAGGAACATCCTTAGGAGAGCCACAAAAATAGCGTACTAAAATAATACATCAACCAATGACTGTCAAGGATTTTCCGAGTGGGAAATGTAAGCTGAAGGTCAACTACACAGCTTATGCGCGAAAACATAAAAAAAAATCCAAAATTAGGACCTTTTCCAAGTGAGTTCTGGGGATCTAACGTCCTCAACAATAATATTGCGTAGAAACGATTTCTGTTTAGTTGAAACAATGACAATGATCGTTGACAAATTTGAAAAGTGTTATGTTAATGTAAAAAAACTAACACTCTGAATTGATCATCTGTCAGGAGGAAATTACTCTGAATGTGGTTGAGCTCATGCCTTCAAATCAGTATTTTAAAACAATAAACTGAGACATATTTGACATGAAGTTTTCAATTGTTTAGTTATGTCAATAAGGAGATACAGGCATTGTTAAATCTAATTGAAAATAGAGAATCACTAGAGGGAATGTCCACCCTCACGTAGGACACCTCAGTAGTGCGAATCCACGAACACGCAGGCGAGAACGAAACACTGGGGCTTTGATCTCTCTCGCAGATACTTAACCAACAAACTATGTTATCAAAATCTTTAGTTCTATGAAACAGCTGGTTGTTTACGTGTGAATTGCAAAAGTATATCTAGTTATTCTCATTTATACAATGGAAATTTTGGATATTTACGTATTTTCCTCACAAACATACACTCGTCATAAATCGAAACTGAACTGTTTCCACATTCCATTTCAATAAATATTTTATTGATTAAAGCAGATCTAAAAATACATTATTATTATTATTACTAGATCGATAATGAATCTATAAATATAATAAATAAAAGGATTTAATGAAGATGGAACTGACGTACTGATTAGAAGTAGACGATCAAAGCGGTTTCCCCTTAAGATTAATTACGGCAAATCTAATATTTTACTATGAACTACTCTCAGTTTTTTCTTTCCACTGAGGGATTTTCATTTTTCGGGAAATATTTAAACGGTACATCACACAATAACCTTGAATTTAATTAATTCCTCAACCTAAGGAAGCCAGTATAAATTAAATAGAATTATTTGTATATACTTAAACTAGTAAGCAGTATAGCCATTCCAGTAGATCTGCTCAGACACGCTTAAAATATCAATCTATGATTGTCACGTTAAAAGGTATTTAACTGGAGGGAAAATATAATAATTCTCGGTGAGAGATTGGCTGTCAACAAACATTTTCATTGAATGAAAGAAAAAAAAAGGAACATTTCCATTGCTTCGACTACAAATATTCCCTTTTACTAGAAAGTGAAAAAGACATACAATTTACAAAATGCCATCCTGGATTAGTTAGTAAACTAATATTTGCACCTGGATTGTGACTTTTTAAAATGTGAACCTGTCGTAAAAACAGAACACAATTATCAGTTTTTCTTATCTATACATCATGTGATATTTTTGAAAAACTGTGAAAATTAGTAGAGAACATATCAAACTAATGAAAATTTCTGTGTAAATAAAATGAAATTTTTAACTTTTCATGAACATTTCATTACTCTATTCTGCTTGTTTTCTATAATAAAAAGAGATAAAAGAGATTTACACATGCATTCGTTTACTTTGAATATAAAAACTATTAATATACTTACTGCCATATCTGTCAATTTCTCCCAGTCAGGTTTTAAATAATAGGTAATACCATTTAGTGCTCCATCTAAGTGTGCTGTTCTTATCAGTAATGTAATCATGAATATATATGGTGTAGTTGCAGTTATATACATAACCTAGAGTTACAATGAATTTCAAAAGATAATTATTAGAGTAATCGTTTTCTTGAGAAACAAGTTGGCAGTCAAATCATATCTAATATTATGTGATACTTTTCAGCTATTAAAAATATGAAAACTTATATGTAGTAGAAAATGAAGTTTCTGGATCGAAAAAAACCAGCGTGAAAGATCAATAGATGAAGTATTGAAACTTCATCAGTTGAGGTGGTTGCTACATGTATTACGAATTCCCAACCACCGACAGCCTCGTCGAGCTATGTATTGTGGTGTAGGAATAGATTAGAGGAAATCCAGTGGCAGCCAAACCAAAACATGGCAGAAATCCATGAAGTCACTGACAAATGGACTGAGTCATGTTGGTAGGTGTCGACTACCTGGTTGGCGTCTGGGAGACCTTGAATGACATGGCTCAAAACCGTTTGCAATGGCGTAGGCGCATTCATTCTTTGTGTTCCAGTAAATCCTAACATTCTGAATTCCTCATCACCTGCATCTTTTAAGTTTTTTCACAGGATTGTACTTCTTGAATGATATCGTCGAACCCTAAACTTGCCGATTACTGTTAATACTTCTACTACCTCTATTACTATGAGATTTGAAGTGACACTCTCCTATCTGTGCTAATGTGGTATGGCAATTTGGACTGATGTATGTACGAAGTTCCAAGTTGTTGTCGACTGGCTGACTGAGGTACAATCAAGGAACAACACATTCACATTACTCTCTCCGTACAGGTGATATTCATCAGTTATTTTTACTTTAATCCATGTCTACAGAAGAAATGTGTAACATCTTCCGTTACTGTTGCAAACAACTCATCTGGTCAGATTGCAATATAAACTACATAGTAACTCATGTGCAAAATCACTTCAGTAAACTTACTTTTCCAGATGTTTTTATACCTCTACAATTTGCTAAAAATATGATTATCCATGCTAGTAAAAGACACAATGCCAAATCCCATTGAACTGTGCCTAAATTATCGATACCATCTGATATTCGTAAGACACGATTTCTAAGATTGAAATAAATAAAAAATATATACATATTTCACATACATCAGTGAATAAAGAACACTAAATTAATGAAATGAATTGTTATCAGTTAGCATTTATTATACATTCTAAGCATATGTGAAAATGACTCATTAGGCAATTTGTTAGCATTGATACTTAATCTTAAATAAACAATAACGTTTATCAGCAAAATAACTTTACAACTGAAAAGAATGTTATCTGTCTTTCAGCTTATCAATGCTTCATGAATATAATAGGCTCTATTTTTAAATTAAATTAAATTCAATTAAAAGAAACAGATTCAATGTATGTGGTAATTTCATTCCTTTTCGTGTCATATGTGTTCAATTCGTCACTTGGTACGCTTGGTAAGCTATTACGAGTTCACCTTAGTCGATAATAATACGCGAACGAGACAATTACCAGCGTCCAGATAAGCTACCTTGAATCGCAAGCTGTTAACAGAAGGCTTGATAAGCGTAGAAAGTATATTATTCTACAAACACTCAGCAATCACACAATACAATCAAGCACACAACTCTCGTTTATTTCTGTATCATAGAAACGTCCTTGGGATAGTTACGAAAATAGCACACTAAAATACACACACAGCAGCCAATCACAGCCAAGGATATTTTTTCGTGGTGGTAAATGAAATCTCAAGGTCAACTGATCAGCCCATTCTCGTAAACGTGAAATCCAAAATAAGACATTTATCAGGCGAGTTTTGGGGATCTAACATCCCCAACATTAACAGAAACGATATTATTTATCATTTGAAAAAAAGAGACTTCTAAATCTATACAGAAATATCATATTTTGTTGTGACTTAAAAATCCTCCTACTTCTCTCCATTCAAATTGACTAAAAATGAATAGAATGGATTTATTTTTCGTGGAAAATATATCTAGCTAGTCATACTAGCACTAATAAATAAAACTTTCGGATAACTGATTATATCATTTTTGTTTATAATTTTGTGGCGGTGTTTCTTTCTATGAGCTAGATGTTTTGGTTGTGAAGCTCTGATTGTTCTTCATCTGAACAACATCATCGGTACAAACTTCAGATGGACTTACATCTGAAGGTTGTGCCGATGATGCTGTTCAGTAGGAGTAGATGAAAGCCTCACAAACAAAACATCTAGCTCAGAGAAAGAAACACCGCCACAATCATCCAAATGAGCTACAAATTTTCTCCATCAGTCATCTCCAGTCATCTCTCCAATGGCTATCATTTACTAAGATTTAAGTTATTTTTTTACAGTTTAAAAGTAACAATAATGCGCTTATTATGAATAATGGCAGGTACACTAACTATAGTTTCAGGTTTTATTATTATCATTATTATTATAGTTATTACTGTCAAATTCGAAACCGTTTTAACATTTTAACGTCACTATGTATGTTTGTATCATAGTTCTTTTTTGATATTCTTTGACAGACTTTTCACCATCTTCTGGCCATTTATTCGCCGCACCTTATTTTATTTCTACCTAGTTGATATAAACCATTGACAAAAAACGATCGCTTAAATCTTACAGTTATGACAGTTATCAATCACTCTATTTTCTTGATTGATGGTGTCAATCATTTTTCGGCTTTTAAATTAAAATGATTTCTAAATAATATTACATCGATGGAGAAAGAAACCATTTCTTCGTTTGAGATTATTTGACATGTTGTGATATATTTAAAATTTTATCTTCATTAAATATTACAGTACCACCATAAACCTTTGAGTTTGTTCTCATTTAGTTTGATTAAGCTCTTTTAATTCACTTATATAGCTGAGTCATTTGTATAGCAAAAGAAAAGAATTCCATGTATTTGTTAATTTCATTACTTTTCTTGTCATATGTGTTCATTTCGTCACTTGGTACGCTTGGTAAGCTATTACGTGTTCACCTTAGTCGATAATAATACGCGAACGAGACAATTACCAGCGTCCAGATAAGCTACCTTGAATCGCAAGCTGTTAACAGAAGGCTTGATAAGCGTAGAAAGTATATTATTCTACAAACACTCAGCAATCACACAATACAATCAAGCACACAACTCTCGTTTATTTCTGTATCATAGAAACGTCCTTGGGATAGTTACGAAAATAGCACACTAAAATACACACACAGCAGCCAATCACAGCCAAGGATATTTTTTCGTGGTGGTAAATGAAATCTCAAGGTCAACTGATCAGCCCATTCTCGTAAACGTGAAATCCAAAATAAGACATTTATCAGGCGAGTTCTGGGGATCTAACATCCCCAACAATATGCTAAACATGTTAGTGCGCTGATTCATACTTAGTTTAAGCTTTTGACTTCTATACTTTTTCTAATTACGGAGATATTAAGAAACCACAGTATAGTCTTCTCATAAACTAATGTCAATTAGAGAGTATAGGCAACTGGTTCTCTTCACAAATTTAAACGAAATTAACAAATAGAACATATGCAGAATATCATGAATTCATGATAATTTATTGTCTTTTGTTCAGCTATCAACTGGTTGTTTTGTATGTGAACAGAAATTGATGAACTCACTCCCAATACTCGGAAGCAGGATCAGCTCCAAGTATATCTTGTCGCAGGATCGATGTTGAATTGCTTACATTTGTTCTAACTGCACCATCAAAACATGAATTTGTATTCCATAAATGTCCACATTTAGCCCATGGTAGTTCTTTATTGAATGAAGCAAAAAGAAAATGAAATGCCCAACCCAAAATCACTGTATAATAACTGTTCACTAAAAAATTTATCATTGTACTAGCACATCCAATGCCTACAATGTAAAGACAGAAAAATTTAGTCAGTTAAAAGTAAATAAAAAATATTTAATTAATAAATTATGAGATGGTGGAGAAAACTTGTAGCTTAGGTGGATGATTGTGGTGGTGTTTCGTTCTCTGAGCTGGTTGTTTTGGTTGTGGAGCTTTCATTGTTCTTCTGAACAACATCATCAGCACAAACTTCAGATAGAAGTGAAGCATTCGAATTTCTCCACGTTTGACCTGTAGCTTGTTCTGCTAACCTCAATCTTGATTGGTTGCTGTTGACCTTAAACCAGTCGAATGCTTCACTTCTATCTGAAGTTTGTGCTGATGATGTTGTTCAGAAAAACAATGACAGCTCCACAACCAAAACAACCAGCTCAGAGAATGAAACAATACCACAATTGATAAATTAATATGCAACTTCTTGAACGTTAACTATATATTATATTCATACCTCTAAAAAGTGGGCAAATATCCCAAGCTGCAATGGCTCCTTTGGACATAAACTGACCTAAAGCAACTTCAAGAAGAAATAACGGTACACCAGCCACAATTACACTGATGAAGTAGGGTAAGAGAAAAGCACCTAAATTAAATGTAAGAAGAAAAAAAGATTCTCTGGTCATTCTTCATTTTAACAAAGTTACATGTCAATAAAACAAGAATGAATTTGTTTCAGTGCATAAATCGTCTCGACACGCCTCCTCCCATTAATCGGGTAACTATCATTTATTTATATGATGGAAAGATTTTATTGTTTACCCTAACATTAGTTCATTCAAAATGTAAATTTGGTCAGTACTTGTTTGCTTATTACAATTTATTGCATCAATCTAGGATGACATTAGAATATCAAAATTATTTTCACTTTATCAGTTAAGTATATCAAATAGAAATTATAGATTAGTCTGTAAAATTTATGATTTAAGTTGGACTAACCAACTTCACACTAGAAGATTTTTGTTTGTGTGAAATATCCATCCAACTTCAATGAATATGGAATTAGTTTGCTATCAACTCAAAATTATATTTTTAAATATTGTTTCATCAAGTGTTATTCATACCCGACTATCACCATCCTTCAAGAGTGTAGAAGTGGCTGAAGCTTAAGAAGCAATAAAAAGAACCGCACTATAAACAGAGCACCATTTGATAAAGACAATCATAGATGAACTCAGTTCAATAGGAATGCTAAAGATTTCGTTATCGCATTAAAATATAAATGTTAAAAATAGAAAGTTGAAGACTGTGAGTGAACAATTATCACAAATTTCAGAATTTATCTATACTCATCTATTCAAGAGTTCCACACAAAGTGATTGCCATTTCTACTTTCACTTTTGCACAAAAATTCATGATAACCTTATGGTTCGACAATTTTTTAAAATTTTTTTAATAAGATTTTGTGTAATTTATTAACCCGAATTCCTCTGCTATCTACTTGTTATTCATCATTAAATAGTCCTAACTGCTAGATTACTTACTTACTTACTTACTTACGCCTATTACCACCAATGGAGCATAGGCCGCCCACCAGTTTTCGCAAAACAACTTTGTCTTGAGCTTCCCTTTCTAGTTCTTTCCATTTTTTTTTCATTCCTCTCATATCTTTCTCTATTTCTCGGCGTAATGTATTCTTTGGCCTTCCTCTTTTCCTTTTGCCCTGAGGGTTCCATGTAAGAGCTTGTCTCGCGACGCAGTTAGGTGCTTTTCGTAGTGTGTGTCCTATCCACTTCCACCACTTTTTCCTGATTTCCTCCTCCAATGGAATCTGGTTTGTTCTCTCCCACAGTAGGTTGTTGCTGATGGTGTCTGGCCAACGAATCCGAAGTATTTTTGCGTAGACAAATAACTGCAAGATACTACGTATTAAATAATCTTTGTAATAGTGATTACTGCTTTCACTGGTGTGGACAAGTGTGATAATAAACTAAATTTTCTGATCAGGTTGTTTTATACAATGCTGATGACTCATTAAGCAGAGGCGTGTATAGAAACAGCTTCTGTCCTTATCAGTACACACACTTGCATAGTTTTACACTTATTCCCTACCACATAAATTTGGCTAGAAGACTCACAGGCAGAGCAAAAATGACCTGCTCAGTTAAAACCATAGAGAATGAGTTGGAGTTCATTAGCAATCTATTGACTGAGATTTTTCACTCGAGAAGTTTCATAAGGGAGTACAAATATACAACGCAATATATATCAGAAGTACTAACCATTCGGAAAAACCTTTATCCCTAAGACGAAGATTCAACATAAATGTGACAAGCAATGTCCTGAATGATAGAGTTATCTAAATTTTCCTTCTCAATGTGCATTTATAAATTCAGCTGTTCCTGTTGAGATAATGAGCCCACTACTAGGCAACTGAAACCGTGAATCAGTGAACATTTCTCAGTATGGTTTTGAAAGAGCCAGATAAAAATGAATACGTAGCTTCATCCTGCCACATCTGATTGATAGTGGTCATGTTGTAGATAGAAAGGAATCATTCCAAGTGATCTACCATATACACCTATCATTTACCGATTGCGTTCGATTCCGTCTCCCACATATATCAGAAGCTATTGGAATCAAGCCTACAACCTCAGTCTATGTGTTTACAAGTAATTCGTGACTGGTTTTTCGGTCCCTTCTCTGGCTATATCTCAAGAGACGGTTTTGTTCATTTAAAAACATCTCGTTTATCATTTTTTGCCTTTTTCTGCTTAGATGCTTCACTATAAAATAACTAACACGCTTCTCATTACGTAATTCTAGTAGTGCTTTGTGATTATTAATTGAAGTTCATTTATTCACGTTCAAACTACATTTTCCAATGTTCAACTGTTGACAAAAGTCATTGTTATTGTATTTTATTATTGTTACCACTAACAGTACACCTGTCTTCCAACTATCAACTTGTATTTTTACCTCTGGTATGTAATTAAGTAACCTATCTCAGTGTGATTATTAACTTAGAAATCGATTAGTTTAATGCCTTCAGATAAATATTCATGTATATTAGAGTAAGGCCTTACATATGTTGTTCTAATATTTAACAGTGGGAATCTTTACTGTTTTAACCATTCTCGTGAATATGTTGTTCAAAATAACAAATACAAGGTCAAACATGTTCCAGTAAATGAATATTTTATAGCATTCATAAGAACAAACTGATAAGAAATATTCTGTTGATTTTTACATTACGAATCAGATTATTTGTTATTTCCAACTTCATTGCTTTATTCAAACAAAAAGTGCGCGAAGAGAAAACAGTCAATTTCAAATGTACTCTCGCAACATACTTACGAATACATACAGTGAGAAAAAGAATACATCAAGATATTTCTTGGAGAAAACACACAGTATATAACAGTATTTCGTATGCTTCACACAGAATTCATGTAAAGTCTCCAAACAGCCGTTTCATATATTTCAGGGATGCTATATAATTATTCTAGACACAACTTAATCTTTTCGGGCAGAGTTTTAGAGGTTTGTGTTTTTACACGTGAAATAATCAATCAATCATTGTTAGACCACCATTAGAAACCTAGGAAGTACTGGATGGCTGTCTCATCTTGGTATGGGACTCACCAGCAGTGCGCATCCACGACTCCTGCACCTGAACCCGGGACCTTCGGTATTGTGCGCGAACGCCTAACCATCGGACCACTGGGCTGGCATCCAACGGTGTTAATGTCTAACTCTGATTGATCTACGAATTTTTGCGCGACCTCACCCATTTGTCTTTGGTAGTTACTGCCTACACCCGACAGGGTTGAACTACATACCAGGACGAAATGGCCGTCCAGTGCTTCCAGGTTTCTAATGGTGGTCTAACAATGATTGATTGATGATTTCAAATGTGTAACAACTTAATCTGCGGCGTATTCTATGCTTTTCATATAATTAATTGCATACAGACGATAAGAGTCTAGTTAACAAGCATTATAGCCTCTCTCCTCAAAGTTTAATAAGCCATAAATTACATATAGTGAATTTTATGACGTATATTGCAAATTAGACATTTTAGCATTTTTCTCCGAATAAAATAATTTACGGTTTGAAAAAAATAAGATGAATGATCGATACATGAAGTTTACGAATGGCAGATCAATAGATGAAGTAGTGAAACTTCATCAGTTGAGGTGGTTGGGACATGTGCTGCGTATGCCAAACCACCGACTGCCTCGACAAGCTTTGTTTTGTGGTGTAGGAATAGGTTGGAAGAAAGTTAGGGTCGGCCAAACCAAAACATGGCAGAAATACATGAAGTCATTGACAACTGGATTGAGTCATGTTGGTAGATGTCGACTACCTGGTTGTGGTCCGCGGGATGATAATAATCGATGGTTAGAGACCCTGAATGACATGGCTCGAAACCGTTTGCAATGGCGCCGGTGCATTTATGCTTTGTGTTCTCTTAAATCCTAATCTTCTGGATTCTTCAACACCTCTACTTTTGTCTTTATAAACTTATCTCACTAAATCATACTTCTTGAATAATATCTTCTAATCCTAACCTCTCCGATTACTTCTAATACCTTTACTACCTCTACTACTATTGGATTTGAATTGACAATTATATCTCTGTGCTGCTGTGGTATGTCAACATGAACTGATGTACATACGTACAAAGTTCTACGTTGCAACTGACTGACGAAGTATTCACTCTAGTTTGAAAGACCATAAAGTTTAATTTAGAGACAAGAATGATAAGTACACCAGGGGTTTCTCTGTGAGAAATTCTGATCACATTTATCTAACTAACACTTCCACAAAAGTTCTTAATTTGAATTGTCTATGCATCACTAAAGCATGAATGTGTTCAATTTGAATTAACATTTTTTTTTAGTTAATAATTAGCTACAAATTTGAAATTTACATATGTCAAACAAAAACTTTTCTTCTGTCCATTTGTACATTTTTTAAAAATATAAATTCATTGTCTAATTAGTTTAATGAGAAAAATATACTGCCTAATTAAATTTCTAATGAAACTTATTATTTAGAAGTTGTTTTTGAAAAGAAAGTATGACGTAGTGAGTTTTTTTTTTCCAAATTTGAAGTTATTATTGAACTCAGTCTAAAAATGTTTCGTGCAATTTATCACTTGCAAACTATGTCGATTGAATGAATTTTAAATACCATAGGACATAACACACATAAGCACTGATTGAATTTTAAAGGCAACCAGCCTACAACATGCATAAAAAATTAAAAGATACTTTCAACTAAGTCATGACAGCCTACTGACAGCCTAAATATTTTTCGTAATTATCCGTGGAACATGTTTTATACACAAAACAAGCGTGATTCACTTATGATAAATTAGTTTCAGCTGACAGTTCGAATTGACGCAAATAACTTCGTTCATTTATCACTGATAAATTGCTATATAAACCCACATCAATTGAGTTACAATATCCTCTGTAAGCAGTGCATTGTTTGATTACTATGATCAACAAATTTCTGATAATCTTAATACCTGAAGCTTGTTACAAATTACTACTTAATATTTCTAGGCTTTCCTCTTTGAGTCTTACTAAGAGGAATTGTGTTATTGAATCATTTTTGATATTTAAGTCAGATATATTGCTCTGACAACTGAGGAGATCACTGAATACAAGCTTGTAGTCTATTTATTTCATCAACTAAATCAAATGAATGCAAGACCTAGCATATAATTACATAGCTTTAGGGAAGTTAACCAAGTGACAATTGAAAAATATAATGTTAACGATAGCACATATTGAAACACAAATTATGTTATCAGTGCAGGATGAGTGAAAGCAGTAAAATGATTGGCGGATTCATGTACACTATCTAAACAGTTTGAAGGTCACATTACCTAATCTTCCAAACTACAGTTTACGATTATTGAATGAACCCTAACTACGGTCTTAGTACGTCATAAGATGATATCAGTCAGTCAGTCAGTCAGTTAAAACATAGAATTTCGTACGTACGTACATCAGTTCAACTTGCCATACCACATTAGTACAAAGACGAAGTTATCAATTCAAATCCCATAGTAGTAGAGGTAGTCGGAAAGATTAGGGTTTTATGATATTATTCAAGAAGTATAGTCGAGTGAAATAAACTTAAAAACGAAAAGATAAAGATGATGAGGAATGAAGAAGATTAGAATTTGACAGAACACAGAGTGAATGCACCTGTGCCGTTGCAAACGATTTTGAGCCTTGCCGTTCAAGGTCTCTAACTATCAGTTACTATCGTCTCACGGACCCCGACCAGGTAGCCTACATCTACCAACATGACTCGGTCCATTTGTCAGTGACTTCATGGATTTCTGCCATGTTTTGGTTTGACCGCCCCTCACTCTCCTCCAACCTCTTCCTACATCGCAAAACATAGCTCGACTAGGCGGTCGGTGGTTCGGCATATGCAACACATGTCCCAGCCACCTCAACTGATGAAGTTTCAATAGTTCATCTATTGACCTGCCGTCCCTACTTAGTACTAATTTCCTAACGATAGGGTTGCTTACGCAATTGTCCCATGATAAACGAGCAATGCTTGGGCGATACCTATGATCGAAAACCAGTAACCTACGAATATCTACTCTTGCTTGCCATGTTTTATAGCTATGTAATAGGGAGTAGCGAACTGCTACACAATACACTCATCCTTCGGTTAGCAAACTGATATCTCGCCTACCCCATAGGTGACGCAAGTTGGCGAAGGCCGATTTGGGCTTCCGTATCCGTTCTGAGATTTCGTCAGTCACCAAGCTATCAGCACTGATGAGACTCCCGAGATAAGTGAAGCGATCAACTCACTCAACTGCTTCACTCCCTATCACTAATTCAGGTGCCGATACAATCCAGTTCTAAAACAACATTTTGTATTTCGACGAGGAAATCGCATCCCGAACATGCTTGCATTGTTGCTTAGGCTAATCAGAAAACTCTGCATTTGTCACCGTTTTCACCAAGAACAACTATGCCATCAGTATACTCTAAGTCAACAACATGATATTGTTCACTGTTAAGTGAATTCATCTAATAATATCAAATCCCAATTCAGTTTACATTGACAAGTCATATTTCAAAGAGATTATTTCATAATCCCTCGTCTTTTGTTAAATCAATATTTGCACTAGAAATCAGACTTGTTTAATAAAATGCATAAGCATAGAGACTTTTCATTCTCAATGCAATGAAATTCTTCAAGACTTAGATGGAATTAATTAGTAAGGAGCAAGAATTCAATTGATATTGAATATTTTCTCAGATCAATCAAACAAATCAATTGAACAGTTGCGATATAATGATAGAAACATATATTTGATATACACTATATAAATAAACATTAAGTATCTATTTTTAGCTGTTCATCCACAGAATGTATGCTGAATGAAGAACTACTAACACACATACAAACAAACATTAAGGTAAGCTTTGTTTATCCTATTGATATGCGTCGTTATTTTTAACTTTCAACTGTCATTGAAACAAATTTTTTTTTAAAAAATCACTTACTTTTATGACCTTTAAGTTAACTAATCAAATAAATTGCCAAGTGATATGTTAAGAGACAAACATAAAACACCAACAATATTGATATTTAGAAAATGTCATATTATGCTCGAGATTTGTTGAACTATTCAAAACAATTCAATTAAATCACCTAATTTTTAAAAATATATATATCAGTATCATATAGGCTTATCTATTTATAACCTTTCAATTCATTTGTATCAATTAACGTTTGCAAAGTTTAACTATCTACAGTATATTTTGGCATTCAGTGTAAAAAAATAACTTGACATGAAAACATGCCTATTAATGAAAGTTGTGATTAATACTGTGATTATGGTTTTGCTTGCTTTAAGCTGAATTCATAATAAGCCAAATCAAATGATCATATAAAAACCATAAAACATTTAATGAATTTACCTCCACCATTTTTATAACATAAGTAAGGGAATCTCCATACATTTCCCAAACCGATGGAAAAGCCCATACAAGCTATGAGAAAATCTATTTTCCATTTCCATCGATCTCGTTTTGTTGTAGTCTGTGATGTAGTTTGTGTTATTGTACTCCATGAAGCGAGATTACCCAGGATATCTTGGGATTTAAATGACTTATCAGGATCCTCCATGGAGTGATTGTCAAAACGTACGTTATTTGTTAAGACACTCAAGGAAACAATGAAGGATTTAAATATTATTTATTCTATCGTGTGTGTAAATGTACTACAGAATGGTTATTTTATAGCTTTTGATTGATTATGTAAGATTGTGATTGATAACAGTGTAGTTATATGACTGCAGTAAATTTTCAATTAATATAAACACTAGTTATATTAATACGGAACAGTGTTATAGGTTTAAGTAGAGATAATTAGATAGTGACAGGGAACTCTGGATTATAACAAATTATATCCACACACTGTTATAAATTATGTCGAACATGTCATTTTTATTTATTTTCAAGTTTTTAAACTGATGAATTTGCCCACATCTATAAAAAAAGCCAATCACTGAACGGTGAAGCTGAAAGCAAATTAATTCTCATGTGTCTTTTTACAGTCTAGACCAATAGTCTTTTCGTATATGTGTAGTATGAAATATATTCGACCAATCAAAAAGCACTTGAACGATCAAATGACCTTGATCAATTTAAAATGCAGCATTACCACGAGATCGTTTCCATGTTCTTTCATTTTGGGAAAAAGGTGAATATGATTCTGTTTAATAACGTTCAATCATGTTGATTGTCTGATACTGTGTACAATTCAGAGGAATCAAGCTCGTAATGAATAAAATAAATTTTTCGACTATTTTATCGTTCGTTAATTGTATATATATATGTATATTCTTTCCATAAATCCTTGAAGACAATGAACACTTTACGATTTAGCCAATTAACTCACTGATGACACCATCTTAAAATATAAAGATTTTTAAGTGTCACTTGTATTTTCATTCTAACATGAACTGTCTATGAGTTAAAAACATTTTAACTTTCATTGGATATACCATCAGTTGACTTTTTCTTCATACTAGTCAAATAGTTGACATATTTATTGATTAGTATACTGTTCGATAAAAATGAAGAGACCATAATGGAATTCATTAAGTCAATTGTTAATTTTATAAAAGAAATTTTGTTGTTGTTTTGATATAAATAAAACGAGCTACATTAAAAAATGTGACTACAGGCAGCAATAAAGCGCTAATCATTGACCTAAAAGTAACAGAGTTATTTTTCGATTTTGTAAACAAGACTAGACTAGTTCACCTTTGTATAACATTTTTTATTGATTGCTCACACTAGGTATGCGCCAAAACATTGGACAATGATCAATATTATTTTGAATACCTACGATAAAATGTTGGAACGGAATTACAGACAAATTATTATACAAAAAATGTTTTCTTCTAAGGTGAATATCATTTCTTCTTCAGACTGATAGATATACTGCCGTGTGAAAAAAACTAAGTTTAGCATCCATAAATCAGTAGTCTAAACTGTTATTATCATGAAAAAAGTAATATTTACTGTTTTATAAACAATGAACGTTTAGTGTGAAAAAAAAGACACGTCTTTCAAACAAACACCATGCACAGGTAAACATTTTACACAATTTTGTAAGTGTGATATTTAGTAGGCATCTGAGTACTATATTTCATTTTTGGAATATTGATACTATAGGAATTTCTAGCCTATTTAAATTGTGTTGAACATTGTCGTTTAAACTTGAAAAAGATGAACTGAACGAAACAATTATTCACTTAAACAGGTTGACATTAAAAACGACTGTGGATTTTTATTTATCCTTAACTCTAATTTTCGCGAATATGACAACAAATATTAAAAATAATAATTGTTTTAAATGTTGTCAAAACGCGAAGTCAATGTATCTAGATAAACAATTCCCTTTCAAAGTTATGTAAAGATATTGTATTCTGTGAAATAAATTATTTCTGTCTGTAACCACAATAAGACTTAAAAGGTGCTCGTCGCTATTGAAAAAGGTTATTCCTGCACAACATGTTTAGCACTTATATGCTTTTCGCAACATCAATAACCAATGATAAAGTGTTTAAAGTCAATAGTTCTACTGGGTGACAAATTTGAGGATTACAAAGAGTGGAATCAAAGAAAATTGTTGATAATAAATTTGGATTCCAGTTGTTTCGCTGTTATTCAATTAAACGGATGCCAACTTAAATTTAATGGTGAAATTGCATGATCATCTGATTATTATATCTCATTGCTTAAAATTAAGTGTTTAAAATTAAGCATTCCAGAAAAATTACTTACTTACTTACTTACTTACTAACTTACTTACGCCTGTTATCCCCAATGGAGCATAGGCCGCCCACCAGTTTTCTCCAACCAACTCTGTTCTGGGCTTCCTGTGGTGTTTGAATGAACTAGTAACTTCTTGTTGTTGTGGAATGCTTGATTTCGAATTCTAAATACAATACATTCGTTTGTGCATATCTTTAGTTCTTGATATATTTACTTCTATTTATTACACTGGCGTCGCGATGGAACTTGTAATGGAACAGTTAGATATTCATTCTACTTCTGAAGCTTTTGAAGATTATTTGGAAAGGTTTGAAATCTGGAGTATGACCAGGAAAGATGTCAAAGATGATAAAATTGTGGCTCATTTTCTAACATTCATCGGAAAAGAAGCGTACAGCTTATTAAAAACCTTGGCATATCCAGAAAAACCTATTTCACTTCCTTATGCAATGCTAAAGGAGTTGTTATTTAATCATGTAAATTGCCCTGGTTTTGAATGCCGTGAAAGGGCGAAATTTCATAAGATGATTCGTCAAAATGACCAAAATGTTAAGGAATTCATTCTTGAATTGCAGAAACAGGCTGTCAAATGTAATTTCAGTGATCAACTTCATGTGCAGCTGAGAGACCGATTAATTGAAGGAATTAACATACCTAGTTTGGAAAGAGAGCTGTTAAGAATGTCAAAATGTTCCTTTCAAGATGTTAGAACTGCGTGCATTAACTACGAGGCGTTGAATGAACTTGATATTCAGTCGATGAAGATTTCCAATACTTTGATTAGTTGTCATGATGAAAAACAATCTCAGGGTCAATCAAAATTATGTTCGTTTAACAGAGGTTCCGATATTCGTGTAAATATGAACGATGTCTCAAAAAAGAATTACAAAAGAAATCAAAAATGTGAGACCAAGTTTGGCAAATGTTTATCATGTGGAAAACTTCATTCTCGTTATTATTGTACATTTCGTAATGCTAAATGTTTTAGATGTGGTAAGATAGGACACATTCAAGCAGTATGCAAAGCTACTGTTCATTTTGCCTCAAGTAGTACTAAAGCTTGTAATTTAGATCCCAATAATTCAGCTGATCCTAATGATCATTTATCTTTAACTACCATTTCGAAAGGTAATGCTCATATTCAAAAGCGACTATATACATCGCTTGGTTCATTTCATGACTTTATTGTGGACACAGGCAGTATAGAGCTTGAAATCGTTAGATCCGAACGTTGTGATACGACCCACTGATGTATCAATATTGGGGATTACTGGACACAGACTGCCTATACGAGGATGTTGTGAATTGCTAATAAGAGATGATAATTCCTGATACATAACATGTGAATTCTTAGTTAGCGAAACGGGACTGTCAATACTGGGTTTAAAGAATTTGAAAAGGCTTAAAGTGGAGTTGTCTCTCCTAGTTTCTAAAGAAAATTCTGATGCTTTACTTAAAGATTCGATAGCCACGTGTGCTAAGTGCAGTGGAGGTATGAAAACTGCTATTGATTCTATTGCCGCCTCAACATTTAATGAGCTGGAGAGGGGAGTAGATACCTTTCTACTGCAATATAGAAATGCCAGACATTCAGTGACGAAAGAGACTCCATCAAAGCTATTAAAAGGAAGAATTCTTCGGTCGAATATGAGATGTTTGGAGTCTGCAGAAGTTACATATTATCGTGGCAATGGTCTTCGACCATCCACGGGGATCGTTCTGAAGAATGTCGGGAAATCTATGGTGCGACTTCTAGATATCAATGACTTAAGTACACACAATCGACATGTTGATCAAATACAATTCCAAGAGCCAGGTGAGTCTGTTCCAATTTCGGTTGTTAATTCCAATACTAATGAGAGCATTCTAGATAATACAGAGCCTTTATCCAATACACTGTCGGACAGACACAGGATGAATTTGAGAAGAAGACGTACAACTGATTACAGAGACTTGGATTCCAATTTAAGCTGTGGCGGATGTGGTGTTTGAATGAACTAGTAACTTCTTGTTGTTGTGGAATGCTTGATTTCGAATTCTAAATACAATACATTCGTTTGTGCTTATCCCGTAGTTCTTGATACATATACTTCTAATCATTACACTTCCCTCTCCAATTCTATCCAATGTTTGTTCATTCTTCTCATATCTTTCTCTGTTTCTCGGCGTAGTGTGTTCCTTGGCCTTCCTCTTTTCCTTTTGCCTTGAGGGTTCCATATAAGGGCTTGTCTCGTGGCGCAGTTAGGTACTTTTCGTAGTGTGTGTCCTATCCACTTCCACTGCTTCTTCCTGATTTCCTCCTCCACTGGAATCTGGTTTGTTCTCTCCCACAGTACATTGTCGCTGATCATGTCTGGCCAACGAAAAATTATGTAATGTTAATTGTAACACTAATAATACTTAATTAATAGAACAACTGCAAAAACAATTAAGTGAATAGTTTACTCATGAATAAAATCAGAAACAAAAATTGAGATATTTTTTGATACCTATGAGCTGTTAAGTAGTAGAGTACGATAAGTTTAATGACTGCACAAACGTTTTCTGATCAACTAGGAATAGCTTTATTGATTAGTGTAACTACAAGCAAATGTCTAACGTAATATTTTTCGTATAATATGAAAAATCTCCATGAAATTACTCCAGTCAGCAGGATTCATTCTTTCAGCTTCTTATCGCTTCATCAAACAGAGAATGTGATCAAGATCGAAATCACTTCAAAATAACTGAGCACCTTCTAGAAACACCGTTTATGCAAATACAGAGAGACCATTTATTGCAGATTAAATTATAGACTATAAGAAATACTAATATCAGGATCTTAAATTAATCGAAACGGAGTTCATCCAAGATGTGAAAAGTAATTAGTGCAATGATAAGAATAACAAGAAATTCAGAATAAGTGATTCGATTTGCTGGTTGACTGTTGAAATGAAATTTTAAAAGGCAAAAGATCGTAATCCTAATGAATTTGGAGTAGAAATAAAACCAAATCTGCTCAAATTACAATGACATATAAAATGTTAAATACAAACTTTAATTGTAAATTAACAGTCTTTAAGTAAAATGAAACTCCACCTAACATTTTTTAATCTATTTTTCGTAATATTTGATATTTCCTTTTTCTTATAATATAAAAATGATGATGCTAGATTGTCAGCAAGAAATATCACTTAATATAGGCTTTCAAATACAGTTACTTCAATGCGTGTCTCAAAATCGCTTTGTTTTCAAATGCTATACTATTTTCAGTAGTGCTAAATGAATCCATTGCGGATAGGAATCATCCCGTAAAACTATCGATTTTCAGTTTCCACCAAATGTAGTTGGTTAACTCATTAAATTTTCTCATATCTTCTGATAATTGTACTAGAACAGATTCAGTAACAGTTATAACCAATAAATTTTCATTGAAAAATCACTCGAATTGATTCTAGAGGCTGATTTTTGATTAATTATAAACTAAACAATCAAGAATGAGTATCAATAAAAGTTATTATGTCCTTCTGATTTTTACTGTTTTGCTAAACATTATGTGAATAAAATATTTTGTTACGTTTTTATATTGTTAAATAAATGCCGAAAATGGGCATCAGAAAGACTTATTATATACCTTTTTCAGAAAAATGATTATTAAACATGTTAGTCCATGTCAAATTTCTTTGTTTGTAATCGAACTAAAATTTAAATAATCCAATCGAAGTTTAAGATGGTTGTTAGTTCATGATTATTAGTCGAATGTGGACCAATTAATTTGGGCCTTCACACTACCATGGGAATTAGCGTCCCCCAGATGCCTCAACCACCACACCTTAACACTGTTAATTCTCCAAGTCTGAGAACTGTGGACTTCAGAAATCGTAAAGATCTGGCTCAGGTGCTTCAGGCTTGATTTTGCATGGATGACGATCTCTCTAGTCACATTAGAGCGAGAGCCAACCAAGATCTGGGAGACAACAACAGAAAGTCCAAAATAAGCCCACTATAATTACACTTGACCCCTGTAGACAACCCAAGGCACAAAACACTAAAATCTTGGTCTCTCAAATTGAATGTACTGCACATGCGAAAAACTTGCAGAGACCAATTCCAGCAGGACTGGTCAACTCGGAGTGAATAACTTTTATGAAAATCCGGCTGACGCTGCAGAGGTGCATCGAGTGATGTGACAAACCACCAAGTGACTCTATACCAACGTAAGAGGACTACGGGCTGAGCTGTTAGAAATCAAGAATATGTGCCCTCAAGTAGATCTGAAGATCATAATTCTAACTGAAATATAGCTATCTCCCGACATTGAAGATGAGGAAGTGAGCTTGCAAGGCATGACACTCTTCCGATGCTATAAGGTACATCAGACAGGAGGCGGATTGGTTACATTTATTAACAGTCATTTTAAGGCCGAAAGACTACATGGTACCCAACTCACCGAGGCGACAGAATCATGCTGGTGTCGCTTCAACACAAATGACACCAAATGCTTGATTGGACAAACATACGGCCCCTCCCTCAAGTGCCAAGGCTCAGAAGGATAAATTAACTTAGGCAATATTGCAAATGCCGCACCTTAGGTTTGATCAAATACTCTTAGCTGGAGATTTCAACAAACCATCTCTAAATCTCAGTAAATAGGGTATAACTCCGATTGGTTGATTCTAAAAATTAATTGGCGTGATCATTAAAAGTTCTAGGCTGACTAAACATGTATGCATCACCACTAGATGGACTGAGGATGAAAAGACCTGAAACTTGGATTACTTGTTAACAGATTATCAGCTTCAGATAGAGGATATTCACGTCAATATTCCAGTAGCAAGTAGTGACCATAACACAGTCACGTTTAACACGGACATAGATGAAACACTCAGGCGAGACGGAAATGAGCCTTACCTATGCTACACAAATTACATGCACATGAGAGAGCATCTTCTACATGCCGCACGTTCACAGGATTGGTGGAGGATAACATTAGATGGTCATTGGCAAACAGTGAGTGACATGATTTAGAATGTTGTCCTAAACAATGTACCTCACGCACACCACACACGGGGAAAGAGAAAAACTTTGGTCAAACGAGGAACTGAGCACTTGCCACAGGTGGAAAGGAGAGCCAGGCACGAGTGTAAGGTGTCTCTGAAGGATTCCGACTGTAGTTCTTACTTAGCATTGAAAAGCAGATGCAGTGCCACAGTTCGAAGTGATATAAGACACTTCAAGATGAAGCTAGCTGCCAAATAGAGACAACGCAACATATCTTTTTAGGGTCATGAATAAAAGAACCTACAAACCATGGCGTTTATGGCCTTAGAGGTTCAAATGACAAAGATCCTACCAGCCGAGAGATGGACGAGATCTTCATTACCAATTTCTCCGATCAGTCTAACCAAGTACCTATCCATCCAGAGTTCTAATTAAACTTAGTGCCAGCTTATGGCCTAGGGAATATACGATTTACACCTGACTTAGTAATAAAAAAACTAAAATCCCTGCTTGCAAGAAAGTGACAATATTTGCCCCTATAGTTTTGAGACAGTGTTCAGAAGCCCTCAGTTCACTGGTCTGTGACCTGTTCATGCATTCACTGCAGTCACACTAACTCAAAGGTGAATGGTAACAAGCTAAGCTCTCTACAAAAGAGAAGTTAAGGAGGATTCCTCTTGTTGCAGACCAGTTGCGCTACTACCAATATTATCGAAGGTAATGGAAGGGCTGATGAATGAGCTAATGAGGCAGTACATCGATGAGAACAGAACCCTCCATGAAGCTCGACATGGGCTTCGGAAAGGTCAGTCGTGCCCATCTAAGCTTCTCACAGCATTGGACAGCTAGACAACTTACTGGAACCGAAAAATTCCGGTTCACATAATCTTTCTTGACTTTGCGAAAGCCTTCGACTCTGTACCCCATGAACTCCTAATTGTGAAGGTTGCGGGAAATGGCTTCACTGACCCATTCTTATCTTGGCTAAGAAACTACTTTCAGAATGGGAAGTTTAGCAACAAGTTAAATAAAGTGAATGCGAGTTGGCGAGCCTCAGTATCGGAAGTTTCATAGGGGACCGTCTCTGGTACACTTCACTTCTTGATATTACTAAAAGATCTATCAGAACAAGTTAGCTCAGCGGTACTGATCTGCGCAGGCACTGTGATTCCCATCGTGACAAAAACGATTCAAATCCTCAACAGAAGTCCGCTCCCTAATGTCTCCTCAGAGCGCAATCTCGTTTTAATAACCACATAAATATTAGACATCAGCTTGAACTATGTAGGGAACTCAGTCTAAGCTTACGCAACTCTTCACTGTATGTGAGGACAACTTGATGCTATCAACCCTGAATTATTCTCACATTTTTAGGGACATACGCGCGCCAACAACTCAAGGTTCACAAAGTCGTCGAACCCCCTCTCCTTAAAAGAGACAAATCTCTTGGATCAAGTGCAGAGATGATAGGTTGAAGAATAAATCCTACTAAGGCAGACTCTGGCACTTAAAATTATTCTCTCTGTGCAATAGGAAAATCCGAGGTGATCTGATAATGGCTAGACATTAAGCACACCAAATCTTCCAGACGTGAGAATCACACCAAAGCATCACCACCACGCCCCATGAAGTAAGCCGCGAAAAACTGCGCATCAAAGAAAAATAATTCAGATTTTTCCACACTTTTGCTCATTAAGAGTTATGGCAGCTTGGAACGCTTTGAAAGCCGCGGTGACCACAGAGTCTCTGTAGGTAGCTTCAAGGAGAGACCTGATAAACACGTACTATCACTCGGATTATCATCTCCCTTGTAGAAACAGGTGTGCCTGATGCATGTCTTGAGACTTGCTAGTTGTTATTATTGTCAGATTACTATCGTTATATATATGGCTTATTATCTTTGTTTTATTTCCCTCGCTTAGACTTCGCTCCCTTTTCACAATCTTCACTAACAATTAATTAACATATTTATCCATTTATTTACTGAGTTCTGAAATTTTATTCGCGCTAAAAATTTCTCTTCACCATTCTCCACATCGTAAATAACTGATCTTTAGTCTGGTAATGTGATAGCTGCTGGTATCCAGAAACGCTACTCTCCTGAAACAAACTTACTCATTCAAATCACGGGACATACAAACTCACAAACAACTGCCAACAGACTAGAATCGGTGCAGTTGAATGGATAGATCCTCATCTATTGTACACTGAAAAATACTTGGAAGCATATCGAAAGAACAATAATTGAGTTCACAGAAATCAAATGGTGAAAAAGAAATTGGATATCGAATTGTTTAACTATCTCATTTTTGCTACATGGGTCATTATGTCCTGGCCTTAGCTACCACCGTGTGATTCGGTTTCAATGCATAATGGATGATTTCCAGACATCTGAGGAGGTAATGTCTTATATTTTCACGATTTTTTGGATAATAGACAACGTTTGTTCAAGATGAAGTTAAAAACATAGTTAAAGAGGTGCGAAAAACTTCACAACTCTTAGATTTGTAACAAACCTTTAGAGCATAGAGAGCATCATTGGTTCAAGCTCATATTCACACAATAAAGTACAACAGTGGACTTCGTCTGTGATTGAACAATGCCTCAGTCACTTGACTAAACTTGGGAAACCATTTAAATACATCGGTATGCTTGATTTGAACATATTCTTTACTTATATCTCAGTCACTTGTGTAATCATGCAGAAAAATGGAGCCGGACTACATACTGCAAGTTCGTGTTACTGGGATAGTTCTACTGACGGTGAGTGAAACGTATGCCATGCTTTTGACGTAAATATGTCTTAGAATCGGTTTTGTTTTGTGTCCTGAGAACAAAAGTTCTGTTGTCTCTGTTAGCACTTTCCTGGCATGCTTCCATTCTCGTCTTATGTCAGATTTAGTAAACCAACTAAAGACACACCAAATTAATGGTTTTTTAAGTTAATTACTATGAGTTAACGTTTGTTCTCCAAAGGTTCTAGTTATTGGCTTATAAACTCAGCTGCTGTATCCAACGACTTATTCTGACCTAGTTGAAAGAAATTGAGAGCACACATCGAGTTCACTCTTTTCTTATTGCTCTCCCACGACTGCATCGTACAATGTGTGTGGTAAAGCGATTAAGGTCTCTAACCGCTTGCTGTGAGGTATCCAAAATATCTGCAAAACCGCCCTGGTAGGAGTAGGTTGGAAGGAAGCTAGGGGTGGCCCAACCAAAACATGGCAGAAATCCTTTAAGTCACTGACAAGTGGACTGAGTAATGTTGGTAGATGTAGACTACCTGGTTGGGGTCCGCGAGATGTAAGTCACTAATGGTTGGAGACCTTGGACGACATGACATCTTTCTCTTTCTAACTTTATATCATTTAATTATACCCTTATCTTCTCCATTATTGCCAATACTTCTACTATCGCTACCACTATTGGATTTGAACTGACAATTGCGTCTCTGTGCTAATGTGGTATGGCAACCTGAACTGATATACATACGTGCGAAGTTCTGTGTTGTATCTGTCTGTCTGTCCTGGTACGGGTTTACTGTACTGAAAAGGGAAGTCCATGATAGAGTAGTTGGAGAATACTGGTCGATGGCCAATGCTCCATCGGAGGTAACAGGCGTAAGTAAGTGATGTATCAAAGCCGGAAATTAAAACCGTTTTTCCTAAACTTGAAAGGTCTGCATGGATTTGTTCGCCATAATTTCGGTAGACGTTTGTATAATCAAAAGATAGAAATTTTATTCAAATTTGCTACGTAGTGTAAAGACACTTTGAATGGTTCATTCAAGTTGCGATAATATTATAATTGGTGAGTGATCACCATCCCTGTTTATCTACCAAGTTAAAAACTGACAAGACATATGGTCCTTTATCAGTGTATGGAAAGTGTCCATTGTTGTCCTGCAGCGAACAAATTTCTTTTGGGTCAGCTAACTGTGAATGCAGTTGATTTTTTGGTTTGAAAACGGTAGCTTTATAGGAACAATATTAGTTAAACTGATCAATCTTGTTTCGATGCTATGGTTCTATAACATCCAATCCATCCTGTGTTTGTAAATCAGTCCTTCAATAAATCACTATTGGTCGCTACTGTGTACCTCATATTCCTCACAGCTTTAATCCTACAGGACTTACGTCAATTCTGAACCAAAGTGCTATACACTAGATTATACAGTTTTTTTTAAGCACTGTACCTGACATTGTCAACGACATATCGAGCTATTAATGAAAAAATTATCCATAATCGACCCGACTACACCACAGAACGCAAAAATTGGTTACGCTAGTTCGATTTTGGCGTGAAATAGATCAAACAGATCAAAATGACTGTTACAAGTTCTAACAAATTTTATCAGTTAGGGAGCTCTAGTACTCTTACTATCCATGTTTAAGCTGTTTTATGGTATAAGAGTAGATTCTGCGTTGGATCTGTCTGTCTGATCCATGTTTAAAGGAGAAAGATATTGTTATACTAAATGTTCAGCAACATTCTTCAGTCAAGTTGCGTCTGAAAGTCTGAACAAGGTGTAGAAATAAGACCCTAAATTTCATAATTTGTCAGAATAAAGACCTGTCGGAAGTTTTATCAAAAAGAGTCACAACCTACTGTGTAATGGTAGCATATTCATACCAATGCTATTTTGTATTTTTCTAGGGAGTTGTACAGTAAAATGGGAAAACAAGTCGATGTATTTTATTGTTACAGTGTTTGGCTTGGCTATATAATCGTTGTCGACCAATCAAGTAATATTTAAACAATTAGATTGGATGAAGACCGTCTACACTAAACAACTAACAAGCATTCATTTTTTGAGTTTTAACTTGGTGTCTGAGCTTTTAAATTTCTTCGGTGATACAATTCGTATTTATGCATTCTCATAGCTGGACTGAATTGTTGTGCTGAATAAACAGATTATGTATCATGATTATTTCTCTACAATTGTTTTATATCCAGGTATATAAACACAAAACGTAACGGTAGTAGATGATAGCAGTCGTGAATGCATTTCAGTTAATTAGCATTGTGACGGAGCATATCAGTCGACTTACGTTATTCAAAGTATTTCTGCTGGTACTATATTTTCTATGCCACCTTGGCTAATTCTAAGACTTTCGTCTATATCACAAGCTGTCAAAACCATGAGTACTTGTTACCACTTTTTTTAGTTTTAAAGTCCGCGAAAATAATGGTGGATACCTTCCCGTTTACCCAGTTGAATGCAGAAAATATTCCGATGGCCATCAGCATCTGAGTTTTCAAGAACTGGCCTTGTTGATTGAGACTGGTTCGAAACATCGGTCAGCAGTTCATTTGTTTGGACAGGCAGATTGTTACAGCGGTGTTGCCGCTGCTCATTGAAGTGATATCGATATCTTATAACCACCTCAAATAAGTGTTAATCGCTAACGGATAAATCCTGCTACCAGTTGCCTCCGAAATAACTTTTACCATACTGTGCTAATTATGCGGATAAACGTAATTACTTCACAGATCAGATCTTCACTTTCTGCTTGGCTACCGTCAAGTGATTGCAGATCGACTAGCGACTCGTATCTCGAAATTGATGTTTCCGATTGGTCCAATGAAACTAACTGTCTATTAGGGAAAGTTTGGTCTGGTGGGTGTTTTAACGTGGCAAACGCAGGCATAATATTGACACAACTAGCAGTTCCCATTACTCCAATGTAGCAGAAGGATTTAAGTAGCATGGCCTGATCGTGACATTAATTTTCGGTTTAAAAATCAATAATATTTCAAAAACAACTCTAGAGATAGGATGGAACTGTAGCATAATTCTATTGTCCTAAAGAAAACTCTGACCTTATATTTCTTATAATGTGATACCGCCTAGGTTATAAACTAAAATTACTCGACAGGTGGTTAGCGTCTGTATGGAACTTAAACTGAAGAGCTTTTCCACGCTACAGAAAGTTTGTATTAGCTACTTTCTGTGACTCATCAAAAACGGTCCGGAATCTCGCATCCGAGTAACAAGCATCAGCTTCTTACACCGTGCGCCGTATTAAGGCAACCTGGTTGTTTTAGTTTCACGTATCATAAGAAGTGAGATGAAGTTCCGTGACATACGGGCAGATACGTCGTATATTATGGGACAAAATGCTGTCTTCTGACTACCCTAAGCAACAATGTATGCATGTTCGGGATGAGATTCAGGATTGGCTTGTATCCGCACCTAAACTAGTGAGAGAGTGGAGTAGTCGAGCGTGTAGACCGCTTCATTTATCTGAGGAGTCTCATCAGTGCTGATGGCCTGGTGTGTGACGAAATCCCAGCACGGATACAGAAGGCTTTTGCCAAGTTGCGTCACTTATGGCGTAGGCAGCTAGGAATTTAGAAACTATATTAGTTAGACTGATTCGCCTGTGATTGTCACAGGAGGACTTTTGCCCTTTCTTATAAATTTGGACAATCAGGGATTGAGACCAATCGGATGGGAGTCTCATCAGTGCTGATGGCCTGGTGTGTGACGAAATCCCAGCACGGATACAGAAGGCTTTTGCCAAGTTGCGTCACTTATGGCGTAGGCAGCTAGGAATTTAGAAACTATATTAGTTAGACTGATTCGCCTGTGATTGTCACAGGAGGACTTTTGCCCTTTCTTATAAATTTGGACAATCAGGGATTGAGACCAATCGGATGGGATCACGTCCAGTTCCTAAATTCTACCTAAGATCTCAGTCAATCTAGTTGTTGAGACTGGACCACCATCTTTGGTCGGACAGCGCATAAGCGACTGTCTACCGCGACTTGATACTATACTTTCGCCAGCGAGGCCATGGGTAGCAGCATCAGGGCCACTAGACACACGAAGCGTAAACCGTGTTGTTTCTCTATCTGCACTAGTTGAAATCAAGTTGATGATTTTACTCGGATCTTGTATGCACGTTTTTGAGACGCAACATACATCGATCGCCCAGGATTCCAGAGTTCTAGCTAATGAGGCCTGCTGTCTTATTCAGCACAAGGTTTGAACATTGAGAGTATGGGGTTTCAGGAGACTGAGGATAACGTTTTGTGAGCTCAAACCGTTCGCTTCAATGGCAAGCGATGGAAGGAAGGAAGTCGAGGAGAAAAGTGAGTTATTAGGTGTATAAGGGACCAATTTGGTCTCGTGAGCTTTTTATGGGTATGAGGGCGGATGTTACTTCCTGGCTGCCCACAATTTGGAAGGGTTCTGGTTGTCAGAAAGGGCATCGGCCTCATGACTTCTGAAAGATATCGGCTTTCATCACGGGACGTCATAGCTCTTCTAAATGAAGACCTTTTAACTCCCAGAGCAGAGTTTAAATGGTTTGAGTTATATTTTCTTGTTAGCGATTTTCCGGCAAGTTAGTTTTTTCCGGGATGGGGTCGTCAACCATCCTCCTTTTACAGGCTTTGGACTGGAAGTAGCCCCGAAGGGTCCTACAGGCGGAGTTAATACTAAGACCGTTGGATGCCGTTTCAACGGTCTACAGATTGTACGATCACGCTTCAAACCGGAGGCCCTGGGTTCGATTCCCGCTTGGTGGTTGTGCAGTTATTGAATTTCTAATATTTTTGCGTATAGATAAATACATTTACTTAACGAAGCGATGAATCTTGTAAAGTAGATTATTTACAGAGCACCGGTAGTGAACGAACGTACTTGGTAACGAAATCATGGCCAGCCTCGTAGACTGGGTAAAGTTGCAACAACTGTGAAGGCTTTCTTAGAGAGACGTATAGGGATTTTAGAAATCTTGTAACCAGCTGGTAGCAAACTAAATGGTTCCTTGCCTATTATGCAACTGAAACTATGAAATCCGAGCCCAAAAGTGTGGTTACCATTGTACGAATACAGGTAGTGCGTAGAGCTTGAAAAAATTTGTTACTATTCCAAAAAAAATTTAATCATTAAATCATAATACGAATTCTAACAAGAAAATGGTAAACTACAGTGCAATTTTGGCTCAAATTTTATTCAAGCATTAATTTTGAAGTACATACTAATGAACATAAACAGAACCACTTATAAGCAAGAACAGGTTTGAATTTTAAAAAAGTAAAATCTTAATTTGAATTGTTTGTCTGCCGTATGTCATGCACTCAATTCATTACAGTGAATTTCGATAGCTGATGGACCAACAGAGTCGGGAAGAAGACCATTGTTATCTCTGGTATTAGACAGACTAGGATAGTTCTCCAATAACCAATTTACTATATTCCTTCGGTCCCCTCGGTACGCCTGAAAATAAATACGATTCGCAAAATTACCATGCATAAATAAACCTGTGAAAAATATAAGATTGATAGTGGCGTTAAAATTCGACGTTAAAAGCACGTTTTAAGACATTGACTTCTTAGCAGTTGGAAGTACAGAGATACTGACGAGTTACTGTACATAACTGAAATTATAATTTTAAACATCCATAATAAGTGTATAAAAATTGGCGTAAAATGTAGCTATACAAACACCAACAAGTCGACATGAACATTCGAAATCGCAACATTCAAAACAGCTTATCAACACTAACAGTACATTTAAAATATAAGGGACGTTTAGAAATAAATCCTGAATAGTGGACATGGTTACTTACGTGATGCAAGCAGTTCCTACCATAGTTATCACATGATTCTAAAAGTGGTGCACCTCCTTTGTTAACAAGCAGTTGTAAAATGTTAAGGTGTCCTGCATATGCTGCTCGGTGAGCAGGTGTGGCACCATCATTTTTTGTTTTGGCGAAAATATCAGCCCCGGCTTTTAGTAACACCTTACAAATATCTTCATGGTTATTTCTAGCAGCGTAATGCTAGTAAATATTATGTCAATCTCAAATTACCAGAGCTGTGTACCCATAATTGTCTGGTATATTTACATCAATACGTTTGTCCAACAATTTCCGAACGCGATCGATATCACCACGTGTGGAAGCACCCCAAATTCCTCTTTCAAAATCCATTTCACTCAAATCTTGATAAGTCGACTGATGAAACACTGTATGACTGGTACATGAATGTGAATTTTCAGTCATTTGCTATCCAATTTTATCGGTTTCCAAACAGATATGCCTGTAAGTTAATAACAGTTGAATTTTTCAGGAAAGAACAATAAGTTGCACAGTTAAGTCAATTACCGTTTACGAGATCCGAAATATCATATATGCATTGAAAGCTCATTAGGACACCATCAGTTGACAGATAATCTCTTAAAATGATGTTAGTCATTTTTTCCAATAAACGACAAAACTAATAAGAATAAACGTGGTAATCCAAATGAGGTTATAGAAGTAATGGTTTGGATGCTTGTTATAAGTATGACTCGGAGTTCATAAGAGAAATGGCTCAGAAAAAGACGCTTGTTACAGGTTGGCCAGGTGCATTTTATGCACTTTTTATCATTAGAAAAGGTCATGTCTGTCAACGGCTATCAAGAGATGATTCATTGTCGTTAAAGGAAAAACGAGAGTGGGTACTCCTAGTTAACTTTTGTGCTGTTAATAGAACAGTTGTAAATCGTACTCTATACCTTAAGATCTGATTTACCACGGGTTGGGTACTTTAAGTCTGGAAACGTACATTTTATCAATCATATATTAGCCTTAAACTATCTCAGTTCAACCTTGGGGAATATTCAAGATCCTATGGTAAGCTTTATGGAAATTTAACCAAAAGCCCTAATATTCCCACCAATGTCGAGGGAGTAATTCATTTCGAAACCGTTTTGGGGCAAACCCCAGTGCCGGGGGAATTGGGATTCCAGGTCAGTCACAGTTTAAATGTATGGGTGTTTCAAACCCGGAACCATCCTAATGTTCAGAGCACATCCATAATACATGGTACGTACCAGAATATTTTTTCACTTCAACATCAATAAGGTACACTTAAAAGGACACGAAGTGCACTCACAAAGATATGTAAACGCTACTAGGTTGACATATATTGATACTTGCAGCCTGTTTTTCCCTTTCTACTTGAAAGTATTCATTGGTGGGTACATGGGTTTGGATAAGGCGTATCAGTCATTGACCACTCGATGTGAAAAATAGAATCCCGCTGTGAGTTTATTCTATTGCGGTTTTCGAACCTTCTCGAACCGGCCTCGGAGATGACTAGTTGTGAAGGGATCCAATATCTTTTCCACGAGCTAACAAGAACAATTTGATTTCTCTGAGCTCGATTCTTCTTCTTTCTGTACAGTTCTAGGTATCTGCTAGTGTCCAATGGATAGGGTTCTAGCTACTCAATTGCACTAAATCTAGTCGGTTGGCAGTGGTTTGTGAGTTTGTATGTCTCGTGATTTGAATGAGTACGTTTGTTTGAGGAAAGTAGAGTTTATGGATACCAGCAGCTATCACATTAACAGGCTGGAGATCAGTTAGTTACAATGTGGAGAATGATGAAAAGAAAATTCTAATGCTAAGAAGATCAAATATTTCTATAAATTTTCAACATTGATGCGGACCCCATTAGGTACACTGGGCATGCTAACATTCAAATTATTATCGAAGCTACGGATACCTTGCGTTCTAAGATATGTGGGAAGTGTAGCTTTAGCCTTTGGTAAGTCTGGGTTTGACCAGTACGTAATTTGTGTTCTTAGAAGTGAGGAGTAATATGTAATATTTTATGAAAGAGGAAACGACAAGCGAAAAGGGGGTCAATGAATTAGTAAGCACATAGAATACACTTACTTTTAATTAAGAAAGCAACTGACAGCAACCAGAAATGACAAGCATGAGATCAAGAAAAACTAACAATCGAAACTAGGAGTTAGTAGCGTTACGTTTTAAATGCGTTACAAGAGGCAATTTAGCACTCATGTTTAAGGGCTTTGCAAAGACCCGTAACGCTATAAGAATAACCGAGAGATGTCTAGTCTTAAGTGAAGCAAAAGTCAAACCATATTGACTTACCAAGGATGACCATTATCCAATATCTTTTTCACGAGCTAGTGTAAATCAATCTAATTTCTTCGCGCTCGATTCTTGTTCTTTCGGTACGGTTCCAGGTGTTCGGTAATGTCCAATGGATGGAGGTCTAGCCACTCGACTGTCTGATTCTAGTCAGTTGGCAGTTGGTTGAGTTTGTATGTCTCGGGATTTGAATGAACAACGTTTGTTTCAGGGTAGTAGGGTAATAAGGATAAAATTCTAATGATAATATGAATAAAATTTCAGAACTGAGTAATATATAGATGAATTTAGTTTATTAATTGGTAGTGAAGATTGTGAGAGAGGACCGAAGTGTAAGCAAGGGAGAGGAAACAGAGATAATAGGCGAGATAGATTAATTGAGTGATCTGAGGAGATGGCAATGGTAACAACTAGCAGGTCTCAAGATATGCATCAGGCACAGCTTGTCCAAGAGGGAGATGATAGTCCGTATGTGAGTACGTGATTATCAAGTCTCTTCTTAAAGCAGTCCACTGAGGGGGCTGAAACTACCTCGGCTGGGAGAGCATTCCAAGTTGCGACGACTCGTAATGAGATAAAGTGTGCATGAATCTGAGTATTTGCTCTTTGATGTGCAATCTTTCGAGGATTGCCTCGAGGGGAGTGGTGGTGATGCATCGGTAGGATGCTCACATTGGGATGGTTTGGAGTGTTTAATATGGTGTACGCCATAATCAGGTCACCGCTGATTCTCCTGTAGCTCAGTGGGAATAATCCCAAGAGCTGGAGTCTATCGACGTAGGGTTTATTTTTCAACCCTATCACCCATTTGGTTGCTCGTCTCTGCACTCGATCCAAGAGATTAATGTCTCTTTTAAGCAGAGGGGGTGCGATGTCGTTGCGAACCTCTAAGTGTGGGCGCGCGTACATCTTAAACAGGGTTAAAAATAATTTCGGGATGATAGCACCAAGGTGTCTTTGCATAAAGTGAAGAGCCGCATTTGCTTTGGCTGCATCCCCTACATAGTTCGGACTCGTGTGGAGGCTTTCTGTGGTTATGAAACCAAGATTGCGCTCTGAGGAGACATTAGGGAGCGGACTTCCATTGAGAGTATAGGTCGTTTGCGTCATATGAGGCAGGAAATGCATGACGTGGCACTTCGTTGGTTGAGTTTTAAACCGTTTTTCACTCCCCATTTCTCAATAGATGTAAGGTGCTTTTGAAGCTCAGTCGAATCCTCTTCGCTTCTAATGGACCTCCATATCTTCTCATCGTCTGCGTAGATCAGTGCCGGTGAGCTAACTAAGCCTAGCAGGTCATTAATAAATATCAGGAAGAGGAGTGGGCCTAGGATGGTCCCCTGTGGAACTCCTGAAGTGGATACTCTCCAACTCGCGTGCACTCTGTTTACCTTGGTACGAAAATTTCTATTCTTAAGGTAGTTTCTGAGCCAAGATACGAGTGGGTCAGTGAAGCCCATTTCCACAACCTTTTCGATTAGGCGTGCGTGGGGCACTGTGTCAAAGGCTTTTGCGAAGTCGAGAAATACTACGTGCACTGGTATTTTACCGTCCAAGCAGGATGTCTAACTGTCCCATGCGATGAGAAGATTCGATGCACATGACCTGCCTTTCCGAAACCCTTGTTGAGCTTCATGGAGTATTTTATTCTTATCCATGTACTCCCTCATTTGTTCGTCCACTAGTCCTTCCATGACCTTTGATAATATAGGTAGTAGTGCGACTGGTCTGTAACAGGCTGGATCCTTTCTATCTCCTCCTTTGAAGATTGGAGAGAGAGTAGCTTGTTTCCATTCCGCTGGGAATTGGTGTGACTCCAGTGAATGCCTGAACAGGTTGCATAACGGTGAACAGAGGGCTTCAGCGCACTGTTGCAAGACTATATATCGGATTTTGTCACAACCTGGTGACTTACCTGGGCGTAAGGATTTTAGTTTCCTTAATACTAGGTCAGGAGTGATACGGATGTTCCCTAAGCCGTCAGCTGGCATTGGGTTGGCGTAATACTCTGAACATGTAGGCGCCTGGTTTAATTGATCAGAAAAATGGGTGTTGAAGATCTCGGCCATCTCTAGGTTGGTGAGGTCTTCTCCGTTAGGCCCTTTTAGGGAACACAACCCTTGATTAGTAGGTTTTCTTTTGGACATGAACCTAAACAGATGTTTCGGGTTTGCCTCTATTCTGGCGGCTAGCTTCGTCTGGAATTGTCTCCTGTCGCTTCGAACTTTGGATATGTGAAACAAAAATATGGTAATTTCAGAGAAAAAATATATACAAGCACGGAGAACAACAGAAGAGATGACACATGTACAGAGAAGACAGACAGGAGCATACATAGACAGACTTACTTGTATGTAACAAGGAGAAATATCGAAATGCCATTGACAAACTGACAGGAGAGTGCAATGATAAATAAACCCCAAAATTAGATAATAATAACAATAGATAGTTCTCTAAGTCTTCGACATTGATGCGGATCATACTAGTTATATTGGACTCCAATCATGCGTGAAGGTGCTCGGTGACATCCATGCCGGATCATTTTTTGGCTACTCCGTGCAACGCTTCAACTAGCAAGCTTAGCTCACAGCACGAAATCCCAACCATCATTCAACTAAAGCTATCATCCTAACTCCTTACTTCTAGTTTGACTCGACTTTGGGTATCCTCGGTTTCAAATGGACCGAAGCATTGTTCAAATCTGGACGTCTATGACATCCTTATTATAGAGCTTGATTTGATCTGGTGCACTCAGTGAGAAGCTGTGAGTCTGATCCTTTTCAGTAGTCATGTATATTTATATATTTTCATATATCCCAATATTATTTTTGCTCTAGAATTTTTTATAGAGCATATTCTATTCTTGTAGTATCTGTAGAATCCTTTTTGAATGCTTTGTGTTTTGGAAAATCCCTCCATGTTTACATATTTTTGCTATGACATGACATGACATTTTTGGTACTTTATTTGATTCCAATTTGAGATTTTATCATTGTATATTGTTATTCTTTCTATATTTTGTACTTATATTGAAGTTTTTGTGTTTGCTTCTGAACTGTACATATGTTGTTTAAATTTGATCTTTAATATGGATACTGCCATATTTGGATTGATGCAGTGGCCGCTGGACTTAGCGTCACTTATCTGTCACTGTGTCTGATACTCTTCGGAGTAATCGTACCTGGAAGAAGCACTATTTCCAGGTAATGCTTTGTATTTCCATATTTTAATTAATAAAGACGCTTTCTCCTAGAATTTTGTCCTTTTTGAATTGGTTGGGACCCGGAACTGGGAAAAGCGTACAGGAGTGCCCCTATTGGAACCCATTGGAACGGCCACTGTAGAAATACATTTACAGTATCGAATACGCACCTAGACATATTAAGATTTAGTTTACTGCGCCTCCAAACTTTCAGTTCATGCTATTCCTGTCTGAAAATAAAGTAGCTTAGTTCCACTATGTTTAGTCTAAGATCTACAAGCGCAGAGTGACACAAACACGTGCTCAGTTCCTCACTGCAATAAAGGCACAACCGCTTGAGCTGTGCAGGTATGTTACACCTGATAGTTTGCCAGTGATATTTTCGAATCGTATGACAACTTGAGAAAAGCATTGCTCAAACGTGGAGACCTAATCAATGGACAAAGTTTCAACCAACTTTTTCACAACGCCGAACTACAACATGGTTCAACAACTAAAATGTTACCATGTATGAGAGAAGTGTACTTGGTTCCCAATCAAAATACTAAAACGCGTTGCATCATTTGTTGAATGCTTGGAGTTTAGAGAGTGGACTCGATATGTAGACGACCCTACAGGACATTACAATATTTTGGATTTAGGTTCCATCAGTAACCTCATCCTCAATACCGTATATTTTGGAAAAACATTACCTGGTAGCGACCATGAAATTGTTATGTGCAGTGTTGATATAAAAACCACAACTACTAAGCGTAAAATTACCGCATTTTGAAATCCTTCCGTAAGACTGATTGGATAAACATCCGAAATCGCCTCACAAGCACTGACTGGACTCCCTTGCTTACTGTAAACACTAATGACTTGTTTTCAATAACCTACATAAATGCAAGTGAACAGTTAGTGTTCCAATACAAAAAAGGAAAGGTATGAGCAATCATATCTTTGTTTTATCCAAAAGTATTATCTACCGAGTCATGACTCAGCTTTAAATAAGGATACTTTATGCTCTGCTCCTCGCCCCTTTCTCTTCATTTATATTTTCCAGCACCTCACTCTACTCCTAAACGTTTGCCTTGATGTTACCGTAGACTTGGCTGCTTTACCCAAGCGCCTGTCAAATCATTACCAAGTGAGTCTCAACAAGAAGATCACTAAATGTTTACCTCATCACTTCTTGTTATATAAAGACCGGGATTTGACTTTCCCAGAATCTCAGCCAGCAGTGGTTCGTTTCAACGCAATCAGCATAACTGGCAGCAACCCTTGTACCGTACGTCGCAGAGTCTGAAACATTATCTAGATTTTATGTGAAAAAATTTTGTTCTCCATAAAAAGTCAGTGTATCTTGTAAATTATTTATCTAACTGAGCATTCTTTTACAGGATATACGTTAGTAATTCCATCATTTTGATCTTGCCGCAAATTGTCGTGCCCCAAGTACCGCGTCATTTGAGAATAAACTATTGTATTTATTTACAATTTAATGAGAAGTATATTAACCATGCGTAGAAAGACAGTATCACTCGTAAAATATTGACCCCAATGAACAATATTTGAACATTGTGATGTTGCCTGTAAATTTGCATGCCTCTTGTAACGCTTGGTAATTTGAGAACAAATTACAACTATATCATAGTTATTGAGTCACTGATCAAGGAACCCTTGGTTACGGCCTTTTCTGACAACAATTTTTATCCGAAATTCCACTAACAGGCGCAGGCTGTACTCGTCTCACTTCAAAACAACGCCGTGAAAAAGTTGGCTACATCTGCCGATTGGGATGGAAAGATCACTAGAACCAACATCCCTCTTCTGATGAACAAACGCCTCGAGGTTCAAAACAGATGTCTATAATACTTTAACGCAATTCCTAAACCTTCAGCAAAGTCGCGAACGATCGAAATTTCCCCGAATAAGCCCATCACCGAAAATATCTGTTTCTAGATCACGAGAAACAGATATTCCAAACAAGTGTTGGTACCACAACAATCATAGCCAATCTCGAAACTTCTCAAAAATC